AGCGGTTAAGAGAGTATGTCCACGTAGTAGTCATGGCAGCTGAGCTCCTAAAAGCTGAATTATGTTAATAGCTCTAGAGGTGGTATGGGTAGTCAGGCGGTCATTGGTTCTTCACTAAGCCTCTGATCTGGTGATGGGTCAGAGCAGGCCTGAGGCCAGGACGCTCTTGAAGGCATGGAAGGTTGCCCAACCCATCATGAGGCAATGGTGGTAATGCAAGCCTGCAGCACAGAGAAGTCCTGCCTTTGGAGGACTATCACCTTTTCTCTTTGCTTTGTCTTTCAGAAATGTAGATGGCAGCTGTTGTCTTTGAAGGACTCACGCCCATCTGACCCTGCGCAGCACCTCCGATTGCTACCATGATCTTCTGCATGCTGCTGTTGGCCTCACTGCCTGAGCCGTCTGGCACCGAAGTCAACCCTGGTAGGGAGCTGCCAGGCTGGGAGAGGACTCTGATCTCCCACCTTTCATGTGCTCGTTCTCAGCCTTTCTTTGCTTCTTATGGTGAATGCATATAAATGTAACAAACGCACGTAAATATAATCACTAACATAGGTCCTGAATGTCCTCTTCTGGACTGAGATGGCCAGTCTTCCTTGGCAGCTGTCCTGGAGTGGGACACCTCTTCTGACAGTCCCAGGAGGGCTCAGGCATGTGGATATACTCCTTTCTCTGCCCACCCAGGTGGTCCGTGCTCTCAGACCTGTCCTGAGCTCTGATTAGCCCGTCATTGCTTTGACCATGTGGTCTGCAGAACAAACCTGGCTCTAGACTGGCTCAGAGATACCGTGCTCACTGTGGAAAGCAATTTATCAGTTAGCAAAGCATAAGCCACAGCTCTCTAGCCAGCAGGAGGGGTTCTGGAGAGACAAGTGTGGAAGGAAAGGTAGAAAACCCTACCTAGCAAAAAGCTGGGGTGGAGGCAGGGATATGAGCCTGTGAGTCCCTGTGAAGGGCATCATCTCTTATCCTGCGGGATTTGGCAAGTTACAGCCATGATGCAGTTGGGTAAGGTAATGATCTGCAATATATTGCAAAAATCCCTGTAATGAGGTGGTTTGAACTGGAGACAGCCTGTGAAATAAATAAGTCTAATCCTTTCCCAGCGTGGCTGAAGGTGTGGTGAGGCAGCAGTGCTGCCCTGAGGGCCTTTGTCTGCTGTACTGATCTGGCTCGTTTGGAGCCCTTTGACTGTATCTGGCTCTGGCCTGTGGATCTTTGCAGAGGTTTGAGGTTGTGCTGCAACCAGCCAGAAGTGAAGTGAGGCCCGTGGTTTGCTCGGCAGGCACTCCTGGGGTCCCTGTTACCCAGCCGTTCTCTGCATGGTACACACCCCCACATGTTCAACTTTGAACTGGGGTTGCCATCTGGTTCTGATGGTTAAAACCTAGTGGAAGAAGAGGGAAGACAGCAGCTAAAGGGTCAGTCATGCGCAGATTCCTTTTTGGTGTTGGTAAGCACAGAAGTTAGCACTCCCAAAGGTGCAGGAATAATTTCCCCCACCAGATCCTGGGAGGTGGGGTGGGTTCTGAGCACAGGGCTGTGGTTCCACCCTCCTGCAGTAATCTTTTCCACCAAGAAATAAGCATGTAGCTTTGTTCACACTTCTCAGTTCTGCCTGTGACTTCCTCAAGCAGCTTTGCTTTCTCAGCTCCCACAGCTGCTCAACTGCCTCTGCCCCAGAGGGCCATGCCCTGTTGTTCCCAGCCAGACCCCAGCACACCCAGAGCCCAGCTGATGCTGTGATGTCCACAGGCTCCACTGAGTATCTTGACTTCCTGATCTGCTCCAGGAGTGGTCTGAAGCACTTCCTGCATTGCCTTCTGAACCAAAGGGGCTGCTTTGTGGATGATTTTGGACTTATGTAGGAAAGATTCTGTGGAGTCCTTCTGCCTAGCATCAGTTGTTTGACCTCACAGACAGAGGTGAGCTGTGGCACTTTTCTGAGCCTCAGTGGATCCTGTCTGCATGGCAGGTGAGTGTCCCTGAGTGAGTAGTAAAGGGTTAGGGATATCTGCACAGGAGTCCTGGTGGCACCTAAACAGAACCCAAGGTTGGTTTTGCTCGAGAGGATGTGCATTTTGGTCAGAGTTTCATGCAGCTTGTTTTGGTGAGAGCCATGGCCACCCATAGAGTGGTCAGGGATGCTCTGGCTTCCACCTGCCAGCCCTGGGTTTGTGAGCAAATGAGTTTTAAGGACTGCAGTAAGTCCCAGTCCCCCAGTGTCCTTCCCAACTAGCTAACTCTCCATCTGGCATTGCTGTAGGGTGTGCACTTGACCTTTAAATAAGGTGCGATCAGCCAGGAGTTCCACTGCAGAAACACAAAAACCACTTTCAGCTGATGCCCCCACCCTTTTGGAAACTGCAGATACCCATAGTTCAGCAACATACTGGCTTTCCAGCAATAGGTCAGATTGTACTGGTCTGTGGTGGGACAGGTAGGAGTGAAGATGGTCAAGGCTAGTTTGGTTTACTATCAGGACAGGGTTAGAGCTCTTGGTTGGCTTTCAGCAACCACAGTTGTCATGCTTGATCCTAGCCAGCCACCAGCTGCCTCCCAGTGAGGTCTTCTGTAAACAGGCCTCTCGAGAAACCTCGGACACATGAATGAATGTTCTGGGTGAGACTGGAGGCCCATTCAGCTTGGTGTCCTGACTCCAGCAGGGTCCCATCCCTCCTGGTTCTGGAAGAGTGCACGATGGGCAGGCACGCAGCAGTGCTTTACCACAGGTATGCTCTCGGCTTGCCGCAGTCTGCTGCTTCGGAGCTTTCTGAGCTAGCGCTTGTGTGTTTGCCTGTGGTAGCTGTGAGTTTGTCCAGCTGACTTTTGAACCCATGTGAGCCTTTGGCATTCGGAGTGTTAATAGAGTAAGGATGTGCATGCTGTTTTTGAAGTCTGTTACCTGATCTCTTGATGCCTCTTGTTTCTGGTATTTTCAGAGACGGCGAGTAATTGTTCAGGATAAAAATTATCTTTGTCATACTTCAGTAATCCCTTTTGTAAGGATGAGGCTGCTGATCTTTCCTTTTGCATCATCTGTGTTGCCACCTTTGCCTTTTGATGGGAGAAGGAAGGAGTAAGAGCTCTATTCCATATCTGACTGGCCTGCGACCAAGAATACAGACAGTAGTGTAATGGTGTTTTCTAGTTTGTTTTGTATGTATTCCCATAATATGCTTTTTTCTATACTAAATAATCTGGTGTTATCAGCAAACACTGTCACCTCGCCCCCCTTCTCCATTACAAGACTATTTAGGAATTTATAGAACATTCATTGAGACTGTGCCTAACAACAGCTGCAGCCCAACCCTATCGAAAGAACCTCTGTTTGCAAACATTTCTCCATTGAAATCCCTCAGGTAGTTACTCTGCCTGTGGTTGGTTGTTCTGCATGATGGTAACAACAAGGTGGGTTTCATGCCTCTCATCTTTCCTCATAGCTTCTGAACCTGGTGAAGAGCTTTGTCCAGGTTTGGTACAAGGGTAGCAGTCCTGAGATACAGGAACGAGGAGGATGCCGAAGGCAGTGCCCTTGCTGAGGGAAAGACAGGCAGAACTGCCGATATGGCAGCGTAGCAGTGAGGGTGCCAACCAACATGCGTGCCACTGGAGTGACTGGAACATGTGCTGGCACTTGCCTGTGTCACTGCAGACAGGGGAGGAGCTGGGGCTGCTGTGATGGGGCTGCTGTGAGCTCAGAGGACAAAGACCAAAAATCTATGGGGGAGTGCATTTCCTTTTTTTCTGGGACTTGCTGTTGACTATGTGTTTGTCTTTTGATTGTTTAACAATTTAATCTCATATAACTTTCTTTTTAATCTGCTTTTGATGTCAGTTTGACAAAAATATCTTGCCTGCCTGTTTTGAATACTGACCCTTACTGAATACATTAAGACTTTGAGTTTTCTGAAACATCTCTAATATTCCAAGATGTGTTTAAAAACTTGTGTTGGGGAGAAAGCTTGGCCAGCTTGGATTTGTAAGCTACATCTGCTTGTCTTTTGTGTATTGAGCTGTATCGAACTTGTAGAGCTCCATGGCTTGAGCCAGTTGTGTCTGTGCTCCCTGGAGGCACCAAGTTTCAGAGTTTTCTCATGCCTGGAGAGAAATTCTTGCTGCACTTGAGGCTAGAAGCAGGGAACAGACCAAGATGGGGCACGGGCTTGGGCTCCAAGGTAAGCTCTAACCTGCAGTGACATGACAGAGCAGATGTTTCCATAAGCTATCTAGTCATCTGTAATAGAAGCTGTTAACTTCTTGCTTGTTACTGGATTGGTGGAAATAATAGTAATTGTTCTCATTTGAATGCAAGTCAAACATCCAGTTTATTCCAGAAGAAGAAAAATCTTTAGCAAATTCTTCCTTTTTATGTTGCATCATTATTGATAAATAATTTTTCATTGTAAAATAGGTCAATACAACCAGTAACACTAGTATGGTTTTGGCTTTCGTGTTCTTACAATGTTTCTTTCTAAAGTTTTTTGCCTTGCCAGGACTCTGCTGAATGATCTGAACTCTGAGTGTATTTCATTAGTTATTTCAGTTGATGGTAATCATCATCTTTATTTGCATTCTCTATTTTATCATTACCATGTTTATTCCCTAGTCATTGATGGCCTTTTAATTAAACTTGTCTGGTGATTTAGAAAGAATTGGTACTGATTTTTTTTTTTACTTGGTTTTGTTCCCATTTTCAGCTATATGCCGTTACCCTTTGGGTATGCATGAAGGGACAATACGGGATGAAGACATCACTGCTTCCAGCCAGTGGTATGATTCCACAGGACCCCAGTACGCACGGTAGGTTTATCTCTGGTAAAAAAATGTAACCCTTTTTTCCTTCTAGATATATAGTATGTGATTGAGGAAGAAGTTCCTTCATCCTTAAAGCAACCTTAAGTTTGCTTAGCTTGTTCGTTGCTCCCATGTTAAATCTAATTAGTGCAGAGTGAAAGACCAAGAGGCAGAAGTCATGGTCACAAGCTGTAAATAGGAAATTCTGAATCAATGTTAAGGAAAAAAACAACCTTTCCCATGAGGATGAAGTGGTGGAGCTCTGACAGGTACACAGAGATGTGGTGATGTTTCAGTGTTTGGAGATTTTCAGGATGTGGCTGTACAAGTCCTTGAGCAACATTTTGTAGCTTTGTAGTTAGCCCTACTGTGAGCAGGAGATTCCAGAGACTTCCAGAGGTTGCTTCCAACCCTGGTCTTCCTATACTTCTGTGAATAAATCTCTAATGGATTTATGACTCATGGGTCAGCTGGGGACAGTGCCCCTGGGATTCTTGTAGAGCACTTTAAACTAAATTGTAGGAAATAATTGATGAGGATGAACTTTTCAACAGCATCATATTGAGGAAATGGGCTGTGTCTACTTTGACTCAAAAACCTGGAAACTGCAGAGTTGAGGAATTGTTCAAAAAGAGTTAAAGGATTTTCTTTCAATGTCAAGCGGTACTACAGTCTTTCTTATAAGAATTTTTTTTGTGATTTCACTTCTCTTGAAGCTACTAACTGGTGATTCACAACATACTTAGGGATGTAAGTTTCCTTAGAACTGTTTGTAATGATGTTATCAAACATTCCTACAGTTTCAGTGCAAGTCAGATATGAATTTCAGGTTAACTATGATACTCTATTTTTATAATGAATTTGGGCAGTCCAAAATCATAAAATTCTTCTAGTGCTTGATTATTATTTTTTTCTTTGTCTGTGGTAGAGCAAAGATGCTAAGTGTTGTGTGTTTCAATGGAGTTTGAATAAGCCTGTGGGTCTGAAAGCTGGAAGCCTTATTTTGTTCTCCAAGATATGGCTTATCTCTAGTTCTGCAAATGCTTCGGGCATCACTTGCCATCTGTTACCATCATCTCTTTGCCAGGACAGCTGGATGTCCACAGGGCGAAGGCGTGAAGGCACCCTCTAGCTGACTTCATGCTGTTAGAGGTCATAGTTGTCCTACGCAGATGTCTGTTCCTGTCACTTCAGTCACCCCTCCTGCCTTTCTTATAACTTCTTTTACTTGCCACTTCACCATAATAACACAAACAGCTGACCAGCCTGAGACAAAAATCTTCTCTAACCTGTGCCTTGACCTTCTGTCTCTGCTTCTGGGTACTACCTTCCTTGATGCATGGGGGTTGACACTCACCGATCCCATCATCTCTAACATCGTTTAGAGATGGGATAGCTGTCCGAAAGGCAAGGGTACTTCAAGAGTTTGCTGTTTGCTAAGAAAGTTGCCGAACAGCCCACATGAGCTTTTTGTGTCTGGATAACCTTTTCACATTTAAAACACCTGCCACCTTGTGACTTGCACAGCTGAGCCTACAGAGGCGTAGGTAAGGCAGTGTTTCCTTCGGTGGCTCCACCTGCCGATTGCTCTGCTCAGCATGCCATCTCCAAGGAAAAAAGCCTTAATCTTTGCAGCTGGTGCCACAGTGTTCACCTTTGAAGCAGAGACCTTCACATCGTACACCTAGCAGTGTCCTCCACAAGCAACTGTGCTGAATGAAGGAGAGGTGGAAGATGTGTTGAGATGACCTAGAATAATTTGTAGATGGGCAGAGCTTTTCTTTCTAAAATGTGTTTTTAAGATAAGCTCCTTTTTGTGCCTGTTAGAGCAGTAGGAGGTGGTCAAGCAGAGGTTCAGGCCTTACTGTATGGGGTTTAGGAGAAGTGAGTGTGCGCTTTACCAGCAAGGTGCTAAAAACCATGCAGTATGCAATTACCTACTGAGTAGCATAGTTGTTTCTAATCAATGTGAAAGTATGTGTCTGGGAAAGAAATTACTTCTAACAGTTAATGAAAGATAGGTGAAACTGGGGGAGTTGTTCTGAACAGGGCAAAACTGGTGACAGGACTCTGTCTCAGTCAACCATCACCCCAAAGGGGAGGGGTATTTGGTAGCCAGCTGTTGGGTCTCACTTGTTGAATTGGGTTTTTTTTTCCAATTCCCAAAGTTTCAAGGTGTTTCCTCAGTTACCAGGAAGGCTGAATCCTTGGAAGTGACATTTTTTAATGTGTGTGGTTTTTCCCTCAGGTTACAGAGGGAAGAGGGGGATGGAGCCTGGTGCCCAGCTGGTTTGTTGCAACCAGAAGATGTTCAGTTCCTTCAAATTGACCTGCACAAGCTCTTTTTCATCACCTTGATTGGGACTCAGGGACGGCATGCCCGTGCCACAGGCAAAGAATTTGCCCGTGCTTACCGGATTGACTATAGCCGCAATGGAGAGCGCTGGATCTCCTGGAAGGATCGTCAGGGCAGGAAGGTGAGTTGTAGTAGGAACTGAATCGTGGAGCACGCAGAAGTGAAGTCATAGAGAACTAGACTGTAGAAGGCACGTTGTCTACATACTGCCTAGTGCATCGTACCTTATCGTGACCCGTCTCTGTCAGGCATTCAGTGTCCTCTGCTTTGGTCCTGTGTTTGCTGTGATGTTGGACTGTTATTCCCTGACCTGATCGCCCAAATCCAAGCATTGCTGTGACTAAAAACTGTGGTTCTTCACTATCTTTCTGGCCATGTTCAAAACATCATGTAAATGTCCCTCTGCCAGCCAGACACTTGCTTCTAAATTGGAAGCTGCAAAGCACGTGCCTGTTTTGTGACTAAAAAAAAGAGAGGAGGTGGCAGGGAATGGAGATGAGTTTCTGGATGTCTGATAGTGGTGTTTAATGGAGGGAGGAGTTTAGAGGACAGGAAACGTGCTGAGCACACACACACTCAAAGAGGCTTTCCCACTCATCAGTTGTCTCCCGCTGTCTCCAGACTTGAGCACGCAGCTCAGCACTAGCCGTGCTCTGGTCATGTTCATATGCCTTTCTTAAACTTCCCCTGGGAAGGAATCCCCTTCTCTCATCTGCAGCTCGCCTGACCTGATCACCGTGCCTCAGGCTGGCTTGTGGAATCTGAAGACCTAAGCCAGACTAGAAAAGGTACTGGGTGTGGTGATGTTTTCTAGCTCTGGGGGTGCTTTGGTAGTCACAGTGGGGTCTGTGTTGCAGTGTTAAGTAATAGCTTCTAGCTTGTTAATGAATTATTTGCTCACTTAGACCTTTGATCAGCTATTTGGCTGTTACCATTATCTTGCCCATCCCTCACATTTTGGTGTGTGCTACAAATGCTGTGTTTGCAGGATGGGAGGGGAAATTTAAACTCCACGAAGCTAACTGTTCTTCGTCAGTACTCTTTTAGCTCAAGTCTGTCTGCATCTCGATTTTATATCAGAATTTAGTTGGTTACACTGTCCACAGGTAGCTAAATGCTTCTTGTCCTGTGCAGAGCAGTGTTCTTGGGCACCCAGGACTGTGTGTGTATCAGGTGTTACAACTTAGGATGGGTCAATTTTTGCAAGATGTTCCTCTTAGGCCATAATAAGGTAATGAGCGTGTGTTCAGCTGTGTATGATGCCACAATTTGAGCCCTCCTCTATTCTGTATATGTGGAAGTCCACATATATTCTGCAAGTGTGTGTACCTGTTCCCCATCGCCTGAGACCAAAAAGCTTTTCCTCCTGGTATCCTTAGAGAAGATGCTTCTGCTCCTCTGCTCTTGCTGTTCTGGACATGACATACGCAATGGGGTGCAATTCCTGCCATTTCAGCTCCTCTGAAAAATGACTTTCCATAAAACATATCTTTCAAAATGTGTCACCAGTAAGAGGCGTATTCCATTAGTGAATTCATATTTCAGAAGCACTGCTGTCTAGTCAAATAATTTGGTAAAAAAAATTCCTGTAAAATCATTCAAGCCTTGGTGCAAGATCCTAATCTACTTATTTGTGTGCATTAGAAGGGCCTCTTCCAGTCCCACAGTTGATAGATGCCCAATCACTGATATTTCAGAGTGTGACTATGTGAGCCCATCTTGGCATGTCTCTGTCCAAGGAGATTGCACAAATGGGTTCAGTCAAAACTCCCAACAAATCCCTTCACTGTGCTGCTGAGTGTCAAATCTCACAAGATGTTGGGTCATCAGACACGTAGCACATGCTGTGTCTCGCTAGGAAAGTCACCTCCAGCTTTAATTTGCTTGATAAAGGCAAAGGGTCAAGTTGAAGTGCCCTTGTCTCTGACACCAGTTGAGGATGCAGCTCTCCACTGGCTCTAATATTAGTCACATGGTGCAGTGCTGTTGAGTCCTGGTCCCTCGTCAACTTCTGGTATCAGTCACTTAGAGTTTGCCAGCAGCACCACTTCATTCTTGATGTTGGGAACATTGGCATCAGTAGTGGCCAGGACTGGAAGCTGATGCTGAGTTTGTTCCGCACACAGCTCATTCACTTTGGGGTTTTTTGGCCCTGAGAAACTCTGTGCTCAATAGCAGCAACCCCACCTTGTGGAGGTGCTACGCAAAGTGCATCTTCCAGATGTCTGTTCAGGACAGGCAAAAATGTCAGCTCTTCCAATACAGAGCTGGTGCAAAGGTACCTTCTTCTGAGGGGGATGGCTGAAGCTTTTTTCTTCTGCCCAGCACTGTGTCCATCTAAGACTTTTTGGCTTGACGTATCTGCTGCCTCAGATTCCCTGACAAATGGTCAACTCCAGGGGATTTGTCCAACTTCTGTGGTGAAGATGTGAGATATTCTGCCATATGCTGTATTCTCTTGGGTTTTATCTCCGATCAGCAAAGATTTGTGGAGCCAGCCTAGGTGGCTTCCAGGTCTCCTGTCTTAGGCCATGTGACAGCTGAAAGGGTTAATTGCTGTCACTTGGTTCCTGAAGACAAGGATTACTTATGTGTAAGTAAGAAGTCACGGGTGTTTCTCCTAGGAAGAGAGATATTAAGAGGCTGCAGATTAAAAGCCTGTTGAGGAGCTGAAGACGATGAGGAAATGGGCTTACATTTTGGTATCCTTCTGTTTTCTTTGGTCAGCTCCTGGGACTGTGCGCCTTTATAGACCTGTCCAACCAGGTGCAGGAAGTTGTTTCAGAATTATCCTGGTGCAATCCAGAAGACCACCAGATGTGACTGGCTCCTCTTCAGGGAGATGCAGTCTTCTGAGTAGCTTCCTTTTGTGGTACAATAAGGTCTTTCACTTCTCAATGGACTCTCCAGCCACACTCTCTCTCCGGAGATCCCCCTGTTGCCATGACAAGGAAGACACCTTTCTGCTCCCTTATTGGCCTCCCTTGTCTTTTAAATTGCCTGTACATCAACAGTCACAATCCATGCGGTCTTTTGAGTAACCTCAGCATCCAATTCATCCTTCCCACCAACAGCATCTTTGAACAGGAGCCCTCACACTTGTAATTCATACTTTTGATATCAAAAATGTTCTTACTCTGTTTCCATGGCTCTGAATTATTTCAAAAAAAAAAAAAAATCTCTTAAGCATTTTGTGTCCACTGCTGGGGGCTTGACAGCTTCAGCTGTTTCCACACACCGACTGTCAAAATAAATAGCGGACCGTTCCCAAAACGGTGGAACTGAGGGAAGGGGAGGGTGAAAGTCCCCACCGTATCGGGCTGCACTTCAGCACGATGGGGTGTCTGTGGCAGTTCTGAACACTTTAGTTCAAGACATCTGCTGTGCAGCTGCTTGCACCTTCATCCCCCAAACACTGCAGCACCTCTGGGGTTTTGTTGGCTCATAGAAAAAGGACATCAGGACCCTCCACCAGGTATCTAGTGATGAGGGCAAGTGCTCAGTTACCTGCTGTTGGAGTGTACGTGGAAACTCACTTCAAGAAAGAAGGTTACATACTAGTAACTGAAGCTTTCTGCAATGTATAGTCCACATGTACATTCATCTCCCACCTGCCTTTCTCCTCTCCCTCAGAATACTGCCATGTGTGGGTCTGCAGTGGACAGGAGGTGAAATGGCAGCACCCTGTAAGCCGTGTGCCGGGTGGTAGGAGGGGAGCAGCAGCTAATCCTCTGCAGATAGTGCATAGGAAACCTCCCCAGTCTCAAATGATGGGGTACAAGTACACCACTGTATGAACGAACAGCACAACAGGGAGAAGTTGCTGGTAAGGATCTCTCTTCGCCAGGTGATCCAAGGAAACATCGATACTTATGATGTGGTCTTGAAGGATCTTCGACCTCCCATCATTGCACGTTTTATCCGGGTGATTCCTGTGACGGAGATGCCAATGACTGTCTGTATGAGGGTGGAGCTCTATGGCTGTGTCTGGTATGGTAAGTAGCAATTTCCATGCCTGTCACTGGAAAATAGTCCTTACCAACGCTGACTGGGACTCACCTGCGTCCCCACGTAGGCAGAGGGAATCCCAGGCCCACGGAACTGCTTCTGTTGGTCCACGTCATAAATAAAAGGATCATATGGACAGAGGTGATGGAAGGCTGCTGCTGCTGTATTTCTGAGCTATATGGCCTTCTTTTTTAGATGGTTTGGCATCCTATAGCATCCCTGAAGGAGGGACAATAGCGGCTCCTGGCTTCCCCATCGTTTATCTGAATGACTCGACCTATGATGGCTACCAGGAGCGCAGGTGGGAGAAGTCGTCCTGTTCTCTCTCGGTCACTGTGCAAATTATCTCTTCTTTCCTCCTTACCCTGTCACTAGTATCTTGTATCCCAAACACTTCTTTGAGACCTCCAGAGCTGCAAGCTAGCCTACTAGTTCTCCAAAGCATTGTGACTTTGTTGTTCCAGGCCCTTTGATGACATGTTGTTAGTTGCCCTTTTAAAGGAGGGGATGGGCTCAGGATGCATCAGATTAATTTCCCCCAGCTGGCAAAGGCTGGCAGGAAAAAAATAATTTTCTTGTTATTGGAAGTTGTTGCCTCTCTTTAAAGAGAGGAGTGTGTTCTTACACAGTGAAGTGCTGTCTTTGTTCATAGCGTCCATCTTTACATGATGTGACACAGTCCCGATGCGTCTGCCTTAAAGCCCTCATTGCTCTTGGTCTCTAATTGTGACCGTTTTCATTGCACTGATTTCTTTGTTGGTTCAGGTACAGCCTTAAGCTGTTGTTGATACTGCAGATCATAAGGTGCTACTACTCTTTTGTTGCCCCAGATTGGAGTGGGAGAGCTGGCTGGACCTTCTACCTGTGCAGTCCCAGTGTCCCTGGAGCAGATGAAGGTCCTTCCCCTCTTCATCGCCTTTGCTTCTGCAGTTTGATATCAGAAATGCATTCTCTAGCAGACTGCATCTTAAACTGTTGCAGGAGGTCTCCAGGGTAAACGGGGCATCCGAGAAAGTGCGCAACACCTGAACTCTAGGCCTGCACTTGATATCTGTGAGTTTCTGGACAGATTTGAGATATTGTTTTTGAAAACAAAGCTCTGATGGACTTGAAACAACTTGGAAAACTCCATCACTCCCTGTGAGAAGCTCCAGGTCAGCAGAGGCACCACTGCCAATGTGGTATGAGAGGAAGGTGGCTGATTGCTCACTGTAAAGATTTCTTGGGTATGATGCTTTTCCAATTTGGAGTCGAAAAGCCTAAAGTAACTGGATTTTGACAGCTCATTACAAGGTCTGTTAATTTTTCACATCACTTAGATTAGGTATGTGGCATGTTACTGATGCTTTGAGGTGTCTCTGGTTTACCCAATAGTTGACTCTCATGGAAGGAAAGTTCATTAAGAGTCTGTATCTGAAATCTTAAATAACTGGTTAAACTTTCAGACATTTAGTGTGACCACTTTCTTTGCTATAAATACAACTTTGAGTGTGTTTCAACGGTTTGAAACCTCAAACTTGGGCATGAGTATCCTCTTGAGGCAGCATATCCCTGCCTGTGCAGGAATGTGCCCATTAAGCGGTCTGACAGTCTCTCTTCAGTGACTGGGTGTCAGCCATTGACTTAAGGTGCTTTTATTATGTGTCCTGTCTGGTTGTCATTAACTTTCTGAAAATTTTTACTGTTGCCTAAAATTTTTTTATGCTTAGAGGTGATTTTTAAAAACTTATTTGTGTTCTATTGTGCTGGAGGTTGAGATAAGGGGGTGGAAAGTGCATTCTTCATGCTTGTAGGATGTTGCAAGATACTGGATAACAACGTCTTTATATGTTAATATCTGATGCTTTCAAGCTGCATTGATATAGTAGGGATTGGATATTAAAAAGAAAAGGAAAAAAAGGGGGTTTATGTGCAGAAAGATGTAGGTGTTGCACTTAGCTGTCCAGCACTAACTCGGGAAGCTGGGTTTGCTGGGGAGCGGCAGGGAGCTGCAGATGCAGGGGCAAGACCCAGTGTGCTAAGCGAGGAGTCTTTCAGACTACTTAACCTCTGGGTCGTGTGCCTGGCTGGCCTGGAAGCGGGAGTGTGCCTCTCCAGCTGCTAATCCTGTTTTGGTTCAAAGGCATGCATACCTCTGCAAGTCGTAGTGACCAGAGGGCTCACCTGGAACGTGCTTGTGGACCCTCTGTGTATGGTGCGGCACCCCAGCACGGGTTACAAAGGCTGCCTAGAGGCTGCTGAATGAAACGGGTCCAGGGAGCAGGTTCAGGCACTAATACAGCTGAACTGTTTGCCCTTTCCCTGCTACAGGACAAGGGATGTGGCAGGGATGAGTCGGGAGTGTACACATCTGGCACCTTCTGCTGGAAAACTGTATAGTGGGCTCTGTACTCTCAGATACGAAGTGAAATGAGGCAGGGTCCTGGGCAAAGAGTCTGATCAGCCTTGGAAACGGAGCCAATAACACTCTACTCTCTCCTCTTGCACAAGGAGCAATGCCAGAAATGATCTCAGTTAGGACTGGCTGTGGCTGGGTGAGCTGCCCGTGGTCTTGCTGCTCTTTTTCCTGCTTTTCTGTGCCTGCCTGCAAAACTTCCCCCACTGGTTCTCCCAGGACAGGATGGAGCAGTGTTCCTCCCATGCAGCTCCATGGTGAAATGCTGCAATTAAGGCTCTCTGTTTGGAGAGCGTACAGTGTCATTTTCTGTAGGCTCAGTTTTCGTTCTCAGGAGACTGCTCGTAGCTTGGCTTTGCTGTCAGTGCTCAATATCAATGCAAAAACTTCTGCCTTTTTCCCAAGCAGGGAAAGGTTTTAAAAGCCCAGTCCAAACAAAATAAAGGTGATGCTGCATAAGAACAGGGAATGAGTTCTTGTCCAGGATGAGTTAAGAGTAAATAAACTAATGTTTTCTGGTACCAGTTGAAGGGCCCATGTACTTTCACATTTGAGCTCTCCTGGCTGGTATTCTGCCTAACTGTTGGTTTCTTTCTTGCTAGGCACTTGTACGGCGGCCTGGGCCAGCTGACGGATGGTGTGCTAGGGCTGGATGACTTCACACAGAGCCACCAGTACCGTGTGTGGCCAGGCTATGACTATGTCGGGTGGAAGAACGAGAGCTTCAGCACAGGCTCTGTTGAAATGGAGTTCCAGTTTGACCGACCACGGAACTTCACCTCCATGAAGGTAGTCAGCGTTGTCCCTCTCCAGCAGGCTTTGGGTCTGGGTGCTTCCAGGTTACCCCTTTGGGTGCTCTTCCCAAAGCAGGAGGATATAAGGTGCCCAACAGCAGATCCCACCAGAGGCAGAGCTTTAGCAGGAGATGTCGCAAGTTTGCCGATTTAGAAAGGTGAAACAGAGGAGCACTTGTCTTTCCAGAGCTCAAGACACTCTCCGTTCAGTATTATTTGGCTTAAAGGAGTAAAAAGCAGACACCTGAAGCAGTGGTTAGGCAGCCCATGTGGGGAACTGAGATGGATTTAGGCTGCTTATGTCTAAGGCATATGTGACCCTTGAGGTAAAGCAATGTGGTTGTGCTTCCATTTTGACCAAAAAAATTTTCTTTGGATGCCTCAATCTGTGCTCGTGCTGTGGGAAATTACTTAAACACACAGGAAAAGGATGAGCTGAACTTTTTCAGTCTGTAGTAAACAGCCGCGTCTTTTAAAAAGGATTGGTGGCTTTTCTTGTAGAGATTTCAAATGAAGGAGAACCCACCACATCCTTAAGTAAATTGTTTTGGTGGTTACTTACCCTAGTTTTATTTTGTCTATTTTTAACTTGCAACCATTGGCTTTTTGCCTGCTTTCGCTGGCAAAAATGAGAGTCCTGCCTTCTCAGAAATTTTCCTGCTTCTACACTGTGATTAAACCACTCTCTTAATCTTTGTTTCAATAAACTAAGTTGGCTGAACTTCTCAATGCCTTCCTGTGAGATCCAGGGTCATCTTTGTAGCTATCTTCCAATTGTCTCTTTCTTTGCCAGTACTTTTTTTAGAGGTATAAAAACTGGATGCAGGCTTTCCATCCAACTGCATAAAAGGAATGGTACCAGTTTCCTGCTTTAGGATGGTTCTTCTTTGTTTATGAATCTTGTGATCATAGTCCTCCCAGCCAGTGGACAGGGAGCCAGTGTTAAGACTTCGGTATCGTGCTAAAAGTCAGTTCAAAGTCAGTGGTGTCTGGGGTAAGTCTAGCGTAGAAAGCGTTGCTTACATTTTGTTTCTGAGTTTACTACCATGGAATGAGTCAATCCTGAAAACTTGAGGTTATTTTAGGCAACTTTGATTTATTTTTTGTCCCCATTTAATTTATTTTATTGCTAGTGATTCTGCTGTCTCTTTCAGATCATGGAAAAAGGTAGCAAATAACCTTGAGCTAGGAATACATGCCTGTTAGAAAAACACCTACAGAAGAATGATTTGTGCCCTAAAACTTATAAGACTTACTAGTTGACAATTTTTAATCAAATTAATATAATTCATAAGTTCGTACTATGCTAAGTGGAGTCAGATATTATAATGAGTAAATCAAATGCCTTATAAAAATCTGTCATATAAACAACCATCCTGATCAACCAAACACAAAGCTCATAAAAACAGCTACTTCATTTAGTATTTCATTATAAAGCTGTATTGATTAGCATAAATTATTCTTCTTTATTGAATGTTGCCTGTTACAACTTTGCATTTATTTTGTACAGGCTAGGTGATCTGTAAATACCTTTTTGTATCTTCATACCTGTTAGCTTTATTCCAATTTTCTGAGCTCCCCCAATATCCAAGAAAGTATTAAAAATAAACGTTAGCAAATGCTGTGACTGCATTGCAAATTACTTAGGCTTGCGTATTGTAAAATTGGACATTAGTAGGCGGTGTTTGGAATAGAAAGTGTCTCTGTATCAGTCCGGGATGCAAACATAGCCAACTCCTGTCCCAGTACGGCACAAATTGTATACGGCAGGCATCAGGCTTTCCTGCCTTGCTATGGATGACTATACCTCCTTATTGAATAACGTTGTCTCAGCTTCATCTGTTCCTAATTATATGCAAATACCCTTCTTTTGTCTTTTTACTGCTCATCAGGCCTGTCGTCCTCATTACTGCTTCACTGCTATTCACTGCAAGACCTCACAGAGGTCAAGCAATTAATAGGGTTCAAAGCTGCACTTAGTTTGGAAGCTCTTGTTGTCACAATTGCTAATACTCCACAGTCATTAGGAAATAATTTCTAGTGTCGCTACGGAAGGTCGGACCACCACGGCTATGAAAATGGAGTAAACTAAGGGATGCTGAAGACTTTAAGGGTCACCTTATTCCTTCTGGTTCCTGGCCACTGGCCACAGTGCCAAGATACTGTGGTCCAGATCTTCAGGGCTGCATGGCAGAACTTAAACTGTCATGTTTGTTTGTTTAAAAAGGCGTAGCGTGAGAGTTGCACTGAAGAAAGTGGAACAGTGTAAAGGATCCTTGCAAGCCTTGTCCCTCTTTGCGCAGCCCGCTTCCTTGGAAGTGCTGGAGGCCTGGGAGAGTGCCAGGGGTTTGATGTTGATGGGTCTGCAGCGCTGCAACCCAGGAAGATGGAGGAGATGTCACTTTTATGCTGGAGCCTCTCGGTTTGGGTGCAGCCCAAGAGGAGGAAGGGAGAAAATTGCTTCCAGCTCTTGGGAGGGTAAAACAAACCTCCCAAATACAGAGGTGTGAAATTAGCCTGAAAGCAGGTTGTGAACAGCTTCGTCTGCAAGAGGGCTATGTGGAGCTGTAACTCAGAGATGAGAGAGGGTGCCTTTGTTTTTGTGAGGTGTTAACTTGGTGGCACAGTGATTGCAGTTTAAATCCCAGCGTCACTTGCTAAAGCAGTGGTGCCATTGCAGCAGGGACAACCCGATGATGAGCCACCCAGAGAGGTTGATGGATGCAGGCTTACATGATGGTTTTAAGAAAACTTAGATCCTCGGTTGTCTTCAGGGTGCAAGCACAGCAGAAGAGCTGCTGTATGTCAGGGGACTATCTTCTTTTTGGAAGAAATTAGCTCAGACTGCAGATGCTGAAGGCTTTCTAAAAGAGGCTGGTGCCTAGGTGTTGTTTTTTCTTTCCCCTCAGGATATATGTTCAAGGAGAATTGGTCTGTGAGGCTTTACATTAGTACAGGGTTTGATTGATTTTTATATGGACCTTTTGAAGAGCCTGCCAAAACTTGACCATTAATGTAGCTTTTGTACGTAAAGTTAGGAGCTATTTCAGAATCACTTTTTGCACAAATGTTTTCATTGCACACTGCGAGTGCAATGGAACAAGTCACTCATGCTGGGTTAGAAGGGTTCACACAGGGAGATATTAGAAAATCTTCATGAACAGAAAATCCCCGAGGCTTGATTTAGGTTTCAGTAAATCTTCCTTCTGTCTGATTGACCTGTTCTCCTCTTCTAGGTGCATTGTAACAACATGTTTTCCAAGGGGGTGAAGATCTTTCAGAAGGTGGAGTGTCTGTTCAAACCACGCCTGATTGCAGACTGGGAGTCTGAACCTGTTGGAGTGGCAACTGTCTTAGATGACAAAAACCCCAGCGCTAGGTTTGTGACTGTCCCCCTCAATCAGCGTGTAGGTAAAGCCATACTTTGCCGCTTCTACTTTGCTGACACCTGGATGATGATGAGCGAGATTTCCTTCCAGTCAGGTGAGTATCCCTCCAGTCAAGCAGATCTGGGGAAGCACAGAGAGCAAAAGAGATGGTGTGGAGGTGCAGGACATGTGGGGTTAACACGAGTGTAGGGCACTGTGGGGCTACATGATAGGAAGGAGGAGGTAGTGGAAGCACTGAGAGGGTTGGAAGGGGCAGAAAGGTCCAGTCTACAGTGGATTCTTTTCAGGCTGATATTGATGCACAGGTGCAGAAGCACAACCAGAGCAACCAAAAACTGGACTATAAGAGCATTTCTTCTTCTTGAGGCAGTTGTCTGCTTATGGGGTTGATTTTTACTACTTTTTACCAAGTATTTTGGTAAAAATAAGAGGCTGACATTTTTTTCTCAAGTCTTAACTATGATGCGGAAGTCAGTATCATGAGGTGCTTTGAAAGGTTCTAGAAGGGAATGGGGGGGTCTTGGATAAAACCACCAGCACTGACAGTGAAATGATCTGGCTGTAGCTTCCTACCTGAAGGTCCCTAATTGCTGTAGTGAGAGGACATTCTGGGGGAAGGAGCGCTCTGATTGCAGCTTGCTGCTTATCGTGTTGATGGCAGTCCCTCCTGGCTACCCTCCATCACACGTGGGACTAGGCAGACTCTTGGTCTAGCCTGGGATGGCGATTCTTATGCTAAAACGGAAAAAAAAAAGGCTCTTGTAAGCTCTTGCTCCAGTCCCCTGTGCCTGAGCTCAGGAAAGCATCCTGCACACACTGGAAGATTGCTGTGGTCGGGGTGTATGTTCTGCTCAATGTAGAGGCTTGTTCCTGTGGATGTGCTGGGAAGCGCTGAGTGAGCGGGTATCTCTGCTCGTGCTGTTCCTGACCTGCTCCGTGGGTCTCAGCCCAGTCCTGCTTGGGAAGGCAGGAGTGGTTGGGATCATGCTGACCGCTGGCAGGAGCAGGGAGGTTGTTGGACTGACACCTTCCCTTCCCTTGCCTTCCACAGACATGGAGACCGTGAATCCCAATTTCGTTACAGTAGCCACAAGCACAACAGATCTCCTGGAACCAGAGTGCAACGTTACTGAGGGGGCCTGGGGTAAGGACTTCTGTCACTTAGCCGTGCCAAGGGCAAAGTGTCAGGGGATTTCACAGTAACACCCTGGTTAACGTGGTCTCTCCCTCATTTCTGGAGATCCAGGTATGGCCTAGTTATTGCCCTCGTGCACAGGGCTGCATCTTGCAGTCCTCTGAGCCTCGGCTATTTCTTCTTCCCTCAGCTGGCCGAGGCTGCCTCAGAGCAAGTGGGCTGAAGGCATACATGCAGCCAGTGAAACTCTGAAAACTGTCCGCTCTAATGTGGATCCATTGCAGGAATCTGTTCCAATATTAATAGCAGTCTTTGATTGCAGAAGTCCTCTGCACAATTCTTAGCTGCAAGCCTCCAAAATGAGGATTTCTGCTAAGAGCAAAATGTGAACACAGTGAATGTTAATGCTCGGGAAGCTGCCTAAGATCTTTTCTGTACCAGACTGTATGAAGGGACGTGCAGGAAGTTAGCCAGGACAGATAACAACCTGTGCTTTGTTAACTCTAGATTCTTCTTTGTTCCTCTCTGATTGCAGAAACCACATCTTCTGTAACCAGCACCTGGATCGGAGAGAAGGCAGATGACTCCAATACCTCCATCCTCGTGGGCTGCCTTGTAGCTATTATTCTTCTGCTCCTGATGATTATAATCATTATTCTTTGGAAGCAATATGTTCAAAAAAGGCTGGAAAAGGTAATACAATGGAGTGTTTTGCAGACCCAAATCCAATACTAAGCATTAACCCTAATGAGCTCAGAATTATGTGGAAAGCACAGGGTTTCCCCAGCTCTGTAGAGCAGCTAAAACTCTGTTCTCACAGCAGGGGAGGATGCCAGCTCTATCCAAGATGTTACTGGAAATTGCTGTGCTTGCAGCCAATACATTACTTAACAACTGAGCATCGCCTCAGCATTTTTTTTTTCTTCTCTTTTGCAGGCCCCACGTCGAATCCTGGAGGAGGATGCCACAGTTCGCCTCTCCTTCTACAGCTACACCATTGCCAACAACCAGACCCAGATCCACCAGTCAAATCCCACCTATGAACGTGCTTTCCCACTGGATCTGGAATATCACCAGCCGGCTACGTTGCTGCAAAAGCTTCCAGAGCTCTCCCAAAGTGCAGAGGATTCAGGTAATGTAATTGTCAGTCTCCAGAAGGTATATGTGTGTTCTTTTACTATTTCTCTCAGATTTTAAAATGTGCCACTTCTCAGTGTCTGAGTAAACTTCTCTGGTTTGTATGCAATAGAATACTAACCCAGGGACCTAAGACAACGTTCTGGAGCTCTGAAACTTTTTAGCATGTAACTCTGGCAGATGGAGCACCAGTTCCACTAGAGGGTGGTGGCCTTTTATTGTTCTCTGAAGACTGCGTTTATACTTTAGCCAGGTCATCTTTTAGGAGCCAGTTTTAGCAATCACAGCAACCACACATCGTTTGTCTCATCAGCCCCTTGGCAGTGGAGTCACTACCTGCAGCACTCCTGGGCTGTCCAGTCTGGCTGGTGGAGAAGCACCTTCTCCTGCAGCAAGGGCTCCTTGAAGTTCCCTTAGAAAATTCCCTTAGAGCAGAGGGGAATGCAGCAGAGAATTGAGTGGTGCCCTGGCTTCCAGCCCCTGGGGAGCTTTTGGACTCACACAGAAGGGAACGTTTCCAACAGTGTTCTGTACGCAGTGATGGCAGTGCTGATTAGTGAATGGAAGGGCAGTGCTGCATTCCTCAAGCACCGACAAGTTGCTAAGATCCAGCATTATACTACACAGGGAGACTGATTTGGATTGAGTCAGGATGCGAGTTTAAAGTAGAACAAAAGGTCTGTCTTATAATTAACTCCTGGTATGGTCGGTATAAAGAGTTATGCTGTGATATTTATGTGAATAGGCTGTAAGAGGTAGCGTAGCGTGCTAAGAGAGTACATGGAAAACAGAGACGTTGATCAGTTCTTGTTGCAGAATAGAATCCAGAGCAAGCTGGATGTTGCGAACAACATTCCCTGTGTTAGGTAAGGGCAACAGATCATATTTAAGATGAATCAGAAGCAGGAAATCACTTTGGACTCATGCCTCCGTGTCTGGGCAAGAATTTTAGCTCTCGTAACTGAATAGAGCAGGCAACACAAATTCACTGGCACCTCGCAGGTATTCTGGTGTCCACAGAAGCACAGCTTGTTCTGGTTTAAGTCCTAGTTAAAGCAGAGTCTTCCATCTGGGTGTACCTTGGTACAAGGCAGTAGGCGTGCAGCTAGGCTGGATTCCCAGAGGTCTGCAGGATCGAGGGGAGTGGAAGCCAGGCCATACTGGTTTTATGGGAGTGAGTGTGTCCAACTCCACCTGTCTTTGGTTTCCCCTTAGTGTGCAGTGGGGACTATGCTGAGCCTGACCTGACCAAGTCCACTCCTCACCAAGGCTTTCAGAACAATGTTCCTCACTACGCCGAAACAGATATCGTCCACCTGCAAGGTGTGACTGGCAACAACATGTACGCGGTCCCAGCCCTCACTGTGGATTCGCTTACCAAGAAGGACATCTCAGTGGGTGAATTCCCACGGCAGCAGCTACGACTCAAGGAGAAGCTGGGAGAAGGACAGTTTGGAGAGGTACAGCCATTCCCTTCCACACTTCCTCCAACAGAAAGGAGATGCCTGGCGCAGTGAAACTCCTGAGCTGCCTCTCTGGCAATGCTTCATATTTGGGGGCTGAGGGACCTGCAATAGCGATATTTCATTGAATACATGTCTTTGCTGTTGGGGAAAGCTGATGTCCCTCAGGACAGGCTTCAGAAAGCCCCTTCTGCACCTGTGATGCTGCTGCTTGGTACCACATGAGTCTTTCTCAACCGATGAGCTTTGCAAACTTCATCTGTTTGCTGTCTATATATCTATATCCCCATTTATGATCCTACAGAAAAGGCCTAGGGGTGGAAATTCAGACTGCTTCATGGTCGTCCATGGACATCTCAAACACATGGCGGCTGTCACCCACCTTTAGGCATGTGAGATTGAAAACTGTAGCAGTGATTCCAGCCAAGGCAGGCTGATCCCAGCTGTAAAAACAGCTTCCACATTAACAGGTGGAGGTTCTGCTGGGGCTCTGCACGCTGGCCTAAGCAAAGGCGGATGTTTCCCAAGCACTATGGTGCCCTCACATATTCTCTAGCATTGCTGTTTGCTCAAGCCCCAGTTTGTGTCAGAAGCCTCCAGCAGCATGATACATACATCTGTCATCTGCCAAGCTTTCTCTTTGCTCCTTGAGCTGCTTTTGAGCTGTGAATGTTTTCACCTCTCCTTTTCTTCTCTCCCTGCTTTGTTTCCATACTATCCCTAGTTTGATACTGAGCCAAGTCTTCCCCTCAGCTGCTCCCACTGTGTCTTTCCTTCCCAGCTTTTGCTCATTCACAGCCTTAAATTCTACCTGTCTGCTATGTTTTGGCAAAGCATAGCCCTTTACTCACTGCTTCTTCATCGGTGATGGGCCCATTATAGTTCCTCCCCTGTGACAGTACACCTTCCCTGTCCCCCTCACTTCTTTCTGGATCAGTCAGCATATTGGAAAGCGCTGACATCCTCCACCTCCTTCCCCAGCTGTCGGTGCCGTCCCTTCTGCTGTTGCCTGGATCCTGCCCTGTCTTGGACTGTGCTCCAAAAGTGAAACAGAGGCTCTCTTCTCATTGTTTTGCTTCTGGTTTCTCCTTCTCCCTTGTTCCTGTTCTTCTAAGAACTGTCAAAGCCTTCTGCTTCTCCTCCTGTGTGTTGTCAAACAGCAGCAGCCAGGCTCTCCATCTCCATTTTCCTTGGAGATTGATTCAGAGCCTGTTCCTTCCCTCACATTTGCTAATGTGCTGCATCGCATTCTCCCTTCTCTCCTTCTCACCTCTTACCAAACTGGTCATCATTGAATGCTCTGCTCCACTTCTCTGGCCTGGTGTTCAGTCTTGCTTCTAGCAACATATAGCTCATTGTTTTTTTTCATCTCTCCACTCAGAGCTTCCTTCCCTTTCAGTCTTTTTTCATCCTTGCTCCTAACCTTCCACTCCCTGGACTAAGTGACACATTACCTGCACTTGTAATATATATATATGCTTACTCTTTCCTAGTCATGTCTCCTTTTTCTCGTCACATAAGTTCTTGTGCTTTTTACATATAAAATTAATTAAGCTCCCATTACATTCCCCTCTCTGCTGCAAGTCTTTGACTGACACATCCAGTCTGCTCCCTTCCTCCAATCCTTTTTTCTTTCCTACACACTTGAGTTCTTTCCCCACCCCAGCATCTCTTGCCCAGTTCTCCAGTTGAATATGGGTTCCGATAACTTCTTAAGCAAATGTCTCATCACCCCCTTTCTTACACAACCCTGGCAGTAATTTTATGTCTTCATTTATTTATCTGAAGAAACTTGGCATTCTGTGCACTGAAGCCAGGCTGCAGGACAGTTCTGTACGTGTCTGGCTGGTGTGCTGTGCTGTGTGTGCCAAACCTGCTGCCGTGCTGTTTGCATGCACCTGTGGAGTAAAGCAGACAACTCCAGGCACAGTGACCTTCCTGAGCATCTCCAGCACTTGCTGGGCAAACTGGACTGCCCCAGTAGTCTGCTGTGCCAATCTGCACACGTGCGGTAAATTTGGTGCCTTGGGGAGCTACAGTCCGCAATCCACGTCCTCTCCTATGTCGTGGGCTATATAGTGCATGTATGCATTTTGTCCAGGATCTAGGGCCAACCTATGGGCTAGTTCTGATCAGAACAGCGTCGCTTTGATTAGATCACTTGGTCGTTCTGCCAGTGGTCACCAAACTGATGACCTCAATGTGATGTTGTATGCCTCTGGTCTTTTGGCCCATGCGTGCTCTCATAGATGCCTCTGCCCTGCAGGTGCACCTTTGTGAAGCCGATGGCCTGCTGGAATTCCTGGGAGTCTCGTCTACAGAATTCACTCACCAGCCAGTTCTGGTAGCAGTGAAAATGCTGAGATCAGATGTCAACAAAACAGCCAGGTGAGCGCATCCGCAGTGCCAACCCTCTGGGAAGGAAAGCAAATACTCTCCAAGCAAGAGTTTCACAAAAGTTAACCCCGGTGACTTCTGTAAGAGAGCGTTGTGCGTCTCAGGTGTATGTTCTGTGTGTTCCTGTAAGGAACAGGACACAAGCAGGGAGTGGGGGATAAGAATAGACATAATGTCAAACTGAAACGTGGTATTAATCCTGTTCTCTGGGGAAGAGGTCAGTGTTGAACGCAAGCACAGGACCAGCTTTCAGACTTACTGTGTGCAGAAGTGTAAACATCTCTGAACTGAAATTTTCTTATGTGCCAGTTCTGCTTTCTTTAGACAAAGGAGTAGTTTAGGATTTGAACCTGTGTCTTCTGTTTTATAAGAAATGATTTCCTGAAAGAGATCAAGATCATGTCACGGCTGAAGAACCCAAATATCATCCGGCTTCTGGGGGTGTGTGTGCGTGATGACCCACTGTGCATGATCACAGAGTACATGGAAAATGGAGACCTCAATCAGTTCCTGTCGCAGAGGGAGATCTACAGCAAATTTGCCATTTCAAACAATATTCCCTGTGTCAGGTAAGAGGAACTGCCTGTGTTTGGGACAAATCAGCAATCCAGAGCTCCCACTTTAATCTGCTGTGCTGTCCAGATAGTGACCTTCGTTTAGCCTGGCCACGGCACACGCTGTGGATGCTAGTCCTGCTTTGCATGGGCGTTTGTTCCCAAGTCCTCCGGAGGTCTGCGTTCCCATGAAGTGTCCCTGACTGTGGGATGTTCTGGTCATGGTGACCATCTTAGATGTATTGTTTACCGATGTAGCCATCTGTCTGTGTTAGTGGGTTTGCATCAAATATTTCATTAATATAGGAAGCCAGTTGCATTACAGCAAGAATTTTGGGATGAAAATCAAGAATGTCTCTTAAGCTTTTAAGAATGTTCATATGTTCTCTGGATGTCTCAAAAATATTACACAAGGGGAGTTGAGTGTAGGAAAGATTTCATCAGCCAACAGAAGGAGAATATTTGGCAAAACCATTTTCTGTCAGTGGTGGCACTTATCTCCCTCCTCTATGGAAGGATTAAATCGAACATAAAAGCATCTCTGCTATTGCAGAAATCCTTTCCTCGGGAGAGTTGTGTGTAGGACTAACATGTATTCAGCTTGATAAAGAAACCTGCACCGATCAGAAATCGCTGCATTGCTTAGCCTTTGGCATGTACAAAGGATTAGATTTATTTATTGTTAGAGCAGGGTAGTTAGGCAGAGCAAGTTCTGCTGATGGACCGGGCAGGAGATGGCTGGGTCTTGCCGTGTCGAGACAACAGTGATGTTTCTGCCGGTAGCTGGTGGTGGTCAGTGGCCCTGTCGGGGAGCGTTGAACTGGCATCCTGCAGAGTCATGGCACACCGGGAGCTGTAGGATGGGAGAGGGTTTGCATCTGAGTGTAGAAACATATTGCAGCGCGCTCCAGCCTCCTGTCCCTTCTGCGCTTCTGAAACAGCTTTCATCTTCAGATTTGCAATTTTTGTTCCTGGCCAAAGCCTCAAACTATCCTTTCTTGTTTATCTCTTCCTCACCTCTCGTCTGACTTCAGCACTGTCACTCACATTATTCTTCTTTGTTTCCATTACTTGGCTCTACCCCTAGTTTTTGTTTCTCTCTGGCTGATCCTTCAGCCTCTCCTTTTGTCCCTTCCAGCCAGATAGAGTTTCCCATTAAAGGAAGCTGGTGTGACCAGCTCAGGTATCTGTACAGGAGTTGTTTACTGGTAGTGAACTGAATCCCCCTGCCAAAGGGTGCAGCTTGTCTCTGCTGGTGCCTGTGGGTGACAGGGCAAGGTCCAACCGTCGCACCCGCCTCTCAAGCTCAATCCTTGGTGCACCAAATGTGGTGACCAGCCCTTTCCTGCAGAGAAGTGACGCGTTTTTAACTCCCTGTGGCTCTTTGGTATTTGAAACGCAAAAGGCCTTCTCTCTGGCTATCTAGCAAATCACGAAGATGAGTCTGCTGAGAGGTGCCTCCCGTCCTGCCCCTCTGTATGTAGAGCCACACGCAGCAAACCCTGCAGAGCTTGCTGAGCGGAGGGGCAGGGGGGAAAAGATAGGTGCTGATGGGACGCTGCCAAGGTGCAGGTGGGACAGGAGGGACCGGGCTCCTTGAATGGGAAGAGCAACAGCCCCAGGCTGGGAGACAACTGCAGGAAGGGAGAAGGTCGGGTCTGGAGGTTATGCCTGCTCCTATGTGAAAAGCCAACAACCAGGTTAACGAGAGGTACGAGTGGGCGGCAGAGTTCCTGATCCGGGGGCACAACAGGTCCACCCAGATCAGGAGAAACGTTGGGCTGGCTGTGGGACTGGGCCAGGCGTCACCTAACTGAGTCGTGGTGGTCGCCGTGCTGAAAGGCTGGGAGGGCGGTGGTGCCCAGAGCCCCTGCCAGGGGCTGCCTTTCGATCTCCGTAGCAATAGCTCAGCTATCGCTTAGAACAGACTGGCTATGTTATCATTAGAAGTGTTATGTTAATGTAGATAACGTGGTAGTGCCTTTCTCACTGCCACCAGAACACAAAGAGGATGAGACTAAGACTTTTTTCTGAGCTTTATCAGAAATACTAACTGTGAACAGTTTATTAGATTTGTTGTGACAAAATGCTTGGTTGTGTGAAGCATTTGAGCATGCACAGTGGGAACCAAGCCGAGCATCACGGAATGATAGTGTGTGAAGAACGATGAAAGTCAGATGGTCCAAGTTCTGTCTGTGTATCGTGCAACTTTATTAATATAATCTTCCTCTTGCTAATGGGGGAATTAAAATTATATTAGATGGAAAATGCATCCATTTATATTTTCAGTAATATTAAACATATTAAAGTAATGTCTCTTTAACGTTAAGTGGTATATTTACATTAATATAAGCATGCAATAGTGGCAGTGTTTGAAATACCAAGCTAAGCAGTTTTAGATATGAGATTCTGAGATTGTACGGCTTAATTTTTCATGTGTCTCTGCAAAAAGTTAGTGCTTTGATGCGTAAACTCTTTGAAAATCTTGAGATTAATGCTTGATATTAAGAACATCTAAGAGATGTCAAATTCTAAGGGCCCAGAATTTCAGGGACAGCTTGTCTGTTCTTGCTTAGTCAACACAGGAGCCTGGCTTAACCTGGCAGGTGGGGGTGTTAGTGCCCTGAAAACTAGACAGTTTAGTTTCACTGTTATGGCAAAAAATAAAATGACAGGTCACTGTAACGCATCGAATGCGAAGAGAATTGAGTGCAGGGAACTCTATTGATTATTTTTTTTTTCCTCGTTTTGTTTTCTTTTAATGCAGCTACTCTAACCTGCTGTACATGGCCACCCAGATTGCCTCTGGAATGAAGTATTTAGCATCTCTGAATTTTGTGCACAGAGATCTGGCGACTCGCAACTGCCTGGTGGGGAACAACTACACCATCAAGATTGCGGACTTTGGCATGAGCAGGAACCTGTACAGTGGGGATTACTACCGTATCCAGGGAAGAGCCGTACTGCCCATACGTTGGATGGCTTGGGAAAGCATCCTCCTGGTAGGGACTGCACAACACCATTCTCTCTCCCTTCCTCTGATTTTTCACTGTGCTGCTGAAGTAGTTAACACATGTATGTGTAATGGTCCTTATAACATCAAAATGTATGGCCCCAGGTGAGATGTCCGTTAGGTCACGTTGGACGTAACTCAGATCTTGGAAAAGGAGCGTGTCCTTGCAAATACAGCACAGATCGTCAGGGGCATAATTCCTGTTCTGTGCCTGGCTTTCAGGATTCCTGCTTGAATCATAAGGAAATTGTCTTTCTGTGCTTATTTCCCCAGCTGTGAAGCTGAGAGGGACAGAAGTTCATGAGTTTCAAGTGCCAAGTCTGGTTTTGAACTTGGGGTTTTGTTTCATGTTTAAGGGTCCTGCTGTCTCCCCTTAGGAGACTGTTCAACAGCCCAAACACATCCAGTCTGGAGGCAGTTCCTTAGTATTCAGCCCCATATTTCTTTCTCAGACTAGTCAGTGAGATCACCTGGTTATACTTTCTTACAATACCCTATCTGAGTACACAGAAATTAATTACCTCTGCTATAATGGTCTATAGGCCTAAGCTTTTCTAAATTCACCCTATTTTCCTGGTTACAGCTGCATCTAAACCATTAATCACTCCATCTTCCTTGTGTGAACATCTTCCAAACATTTACAGACTGTAAGGGTTGCCAGATAAGCCTGGGCAGTCCGGGTCTTGGATGTTTTCTGCCCAAACAGGGCCTCCAGCCCCCCAATTGTTTTCTGTTATTTTCTGAGCTTTAGCTTCTTTTCACTTCTTCAGAAACACATTGTTCCAAACACGGCCTGTTTGGGCACATTTTTCAAAGACAGAAAACAGGGACAGCGAACAGACTGTCACTGACTTCTAACATGTGCAGAGATCAAAATTATCTTGGTCTTTCTCTAAGAGTCTGGAGTCTGCTTTGGCTCTGCTTTCACCCCGAGGGCTTTGCTTCCTCTTCAAAGGCTTTTCTGTGCTGCACTGCTGTGTTTCGGGCAGAGGTAGGCAGCAGCTCTCTGCCCCCCTGCCACAGTCCATTTTCCTCCTGCTGCAGACAAATACAGACTTTCTCAGGAGGGTCAATAGTCTCTGGCTTTCTCTGAGACTTTGTCCCTCTGTGCTTGCCAAGAGCTCTGCTGTCTCTTTTTAAAGAGAGCATTTTCCCAGGTATGAATTGTGCATCCTTGTGTTCAGCTGCAGAGGGTGTAGACTGAAATGTTTTTTGCTGAATGTGCACTATGAGCAAGCTGGGCTTACAACATCCTTTCTGTTCACAGGGCAAGTTCACCACGGCCAGTGATGTCTGGGCATTTGGGGTCACCCTCTGGGAGATGTTCATACTGTGTAAAGAGCAACCGTACAGCCTCCTCTCAGATGAGCAAGTCATCGAGAATACAGGAGAGTTCTTCCGGAGCCAGGGCAGGCAGGTGAGAAAGCAAACACGACCTCTCCTTCCTTCACTTGACCTGATCACATCCAGGTGGATCTCCACAGAGCCTTTCTGCTGGTCTAACATCTGCATAAATTGTTGCTTCTATTACTCATCTCGTCAAGCGTGTCCCACCTCTCTTCCCCTTCCTGCGGACTCATTGCTTTCCTCTTTTGGAGTCTCACTGGACGAGGCTCTTGGCCCTTTCCAGTGCTTCTTCCTTATAAGCCACTTCTGTTTCAATCTGCCCTTGATGCACTGTTCTCCTTAGCTTTTCTGGGCTCTCCTACACAATCCTTTTGCTCTTTTTCTTTGCGGAGCTCTTTCCCACTCGCATCTTCTCTGAAAGACGAGGAACCACTTACTGAGGTAGGGAAGGAGTTGTTAGTGGCCAGGGTTTAGATACTCCCTGTAGTATTTCCACATGTGCTGAAAAGCCTTTGGCCATCTCTAGTTGCTGAAGGCTTTTTTTGTGTCACTTATCCTCTCTTACTAACCCCCAGACAAGACTGTGCACTCCAGTACTGCTACCTTCAGTAGGTACCAGTGACGATGCTAAATAGAGCAGGGCAATCCAGCCCCTCAGTACTGAGCATCACTGTACCCCAAAAAAGTGGAGTGCCAGTTGTTTGCTGTTCTCCCAAATTTCACCTTTAGCATCAAACAAGTTAAAGGGTTAAGGGGAATAAAATAATAGGAGGTTTTATTCACCGTCTCCTGAATACTGATGATTTAGTGAAGAACCTAAAAGATGTGTATTGAAATGAGAGGGGGGGGAACAATATTTCTGCCAAGCTGTGCTTTAGATAAGCTCTAAAAGGTGTTTTTTCTGTTTCTGCTGACAAGCTGTCACGATGCTTAGAAAGCCTCATGTGTTGTCTACGGTGAGTGAAAGTATTTGGATTTTATTGTGGTAAATTCGGGTTTGGTTTGTGTTTTGCTGTCACTTGGAAGATGAATCTCTCTGAAGCATTCATGTTTCCTGGGGGACAAAGGACTGTTTTGTGACCAGCTCATCAAACAAGTTGGCAAAGCGTCCACGGTGCCATTTGAGATGGCGTCAAAGCTCTATCCAGACCTCACTGCCAGATTCGTGCTTAATGGATTTCAAACATTGCATGATGGCTGTCCTGTAAACCCATAATGAAACTGTCCTCTTGGTGTTAATTTAGTGCAGGTTCAGTTCTTTTATGAAACCTCACTGAAATAGCTGTATTTTTCTTCCTTTCAGATCTATCTCTCCCAGACTCCTCTGTGTCCTAACCCTGTGTTTGACCTGATGCTGAAATGTTGGAGCAGGGATATAAAAGATCGTCCCACTTTTGACATGATTCACCACTTCCTGCTAGAACAAATGGAATCAAACATTTGACTCCAGGAAAAAAGAGACAAACTGTTGAGAACAGAGTGACTTTGGTGTCTCTTTGCCTGTACCTCACAGGAAGATGGTCAGGCCACCTTGCTCTCCTCCCTTGACTGTTCCGTATTTAAGTTGAGATGTCCATGGCAGCTGCTCATTCTATTGGCCATGGTCTGACACGCAGGACCAGAGGATCTCATTTGGTTGAAAAATCATCTCCTCTTCTGAATCACTTCCTGGGAATACTGTGAGAGGGGTTTTATTAGATACCCGTACACCTTTGGGCAAAATGAATGAGTAAAACTTTACGAGTGACTTGGAGCTCTCTCCTGGGTGGACTAGAAAGCTACCAGTCGGTGAGAGCACTACCACTCAAGAACAGATTCTAGAAGTAAAGACTTCAGTCTTCTAAAACAATTCCATTGAATCAAATGGAAGTCTTGTGCACATTAGCAAGTGTTTCTGTATGCTCTTGCTGCAGACAATATGTATAGTGAGACACTAGAAACGTTTAGAGCTAGGGAATGGTTTAACGGACTTGAGAACTGACGGAGCTGGATTTAGCAACCCTTTGGAAGTAATGCTACCAGGGTCTACGGAGGACGCTGATAGAAGAGTCCAAGATCATGTTCTTTTTTCCTGTGGTTGTTAAGCACTGCTTTTGTTATATATGTGCATTTTCCCCACACTGGATTTTTTTCTAGAAAAAAAAAAATGTTTTCAAATGAATGTTAAAGGTCATAGGAAGGTCACTATGGTAGAAGATCTTCTTTTGACCTACAAATTAAGGCTAGGGTAGGGAGTTTGTATTGAAAAGTAGCTGATACTGTACTACTGTCACTATGTAGATTTATTAGCCTAATGAACTTGTAGCCACAATGGACTGATGTGCAATTAATCCTGTATAAGTACCCATTAATATGAGATCTCTAAGTCAATGCTGTTACATGTGCAGAGGGAACTTAGATTTGGTGAAACCGAATGGCTGAGAGCAGAACCCGCTATGTCACTTGTCATAGCTCACGCGAGAGGAGAAGGAGCAGAGTACGGGTCATCCCCCGGCACGCGCATGTGCACGCACGTTTGGATACGTGTGTCTAGCGTTGGCGGTTCCTCTTCAGGTCTGCAGCAGGGTTGGTGCTGTCGGCCAGGCAGATGCACTTTGGCCCAGGCTCCTTTATTGCCGTGATCAAATCTGGCATCGGGAGGCGGGACAGACCTGTCCCCTTAGTTTGGGTTTGCCTTTGATTTTTGGATGCTCCCTGCGCAACATCAGACAATCTACTCATTGAACTTGGGATTGGTTTTTGTTTGTCGTGTCACAAACGGCTCATTCTCTGGAGGGTTTTAGAGGGCTCTGAGATCCATTTGGAGTGAGTTAGAGAATTCAGCTTGTTTCTACAATAAATCCATTGTGGATTTACCAGGTGCCTGGGGAATACTCTGCTATTCCTTTTCTAATGGTTTAGCAACATACTTAGGACCAAACCAAATATTTCATAAGCTGGGAGAAGACAAAATCTCAGCACTTGGCTTTTTTTAAACAGCATTCAGCGTAGCATATATTTCCAGTAAAGATCAGAAAGATAATTTTTGTCTTAGCCACAAGCATAATGTGAAGGGCTGTCTGTGCTGTGAGCTCTGTGAGAGGGCACTGCTGAGAGAGGGAATGTCCAGACGGTTATAATATGAGGATAATTGACTGTTATGTTGAAAGAAAAAAAATCACTTATAAATTGGCAGACGCCAGGACGGAGTGTGGCATGGCCATGGCAGAGCAAACTCCGTCGTGAAGTTTCCCAGTTGCAGCTCACTTGATAGGCCCATGCCCAGGTTGTCCTGCTGCAAACCTGGCCTGGGGTTGTCCTGCCTGCGCCCAGGTGTCTCCATCCAGGCTGGTCCTCTGAGCCCCCTTTACGTGCTGAGGAGCCGGAGGGTCCTAGTCATCTCATCTCCCCGTGAGGGCTACATGGGCTGAGCTGAATCGCACCCCCAAATAGGTTGGTTTTTTTTTTTTCCCCCTTTGACTAGAGGGGCCCAGGGTGAGCCACCGTTACACGCGTGCACTGTCTGTCTGGAGCCGGGCGATGGGAGGCAAAGCCAGCTGCAGCCTGGTGGGCACTGGTGGCTGGCAAACCACACGTTGATTGTATTTCTGGAGCATTTCTGTCCCAGAAAATGTACCCAAGTAACACACAGCCGTGTGCGTGAACTCCTGTACTTCAGAGTTCAGAGGTACCAGAGCACTGTAACGTCACCCGGATGGGCTTTGTACTTCTGTTACGTCAGGATGTGCTGTTCCTCCGTTGACATGTTGACATACGAAGTTTCTCTCATATCAATAAATTCTAATGATAACCTTGACAAAAGTGAATTTCTATTTCTTTACCCAGATGTCTGCACTGAGGACAGCTATTTTGGTCTGATTATTCAGTAGCCCTCTGGTAAGTCTGTGGCCCCCAGGTTTGGAAGGAGCAGCCACTGGTTATTTAAGGAGTGAGATGTGAAGGTTGTTTCTGAGAACGCTGGGCAGATGCTGGCCTGAGCCTCCTCAGGAGCTGGGGGGGATGATGGGACCTGGAACAGCCTGGGATTGTTGTTTGGTGCCATGAGTACAGTGCTGCATTTCAGTAAGCAAGGGGCTTTTTATGCTCTTATTAAACTCAGAGGAAGATCTAGGCTGGGAGTGACCTTTGTTTGTAGGTCTCTAATCCAATTGTCCACTGCAGGCTGAGCTAACTTCCAAGCTGCGTTGGGGCACTCTGGGTGTTCCCCAGCTCTGCTTTGAAGATCTCCAAGAATGGAGATGCCACCACGTGCCAGGGCTGTGCCTCTCCTGTGGGGGAGAACCTTCTCCCTGAGGAGAGCCACCTGCCCCTCACAAACCTGTCCACCCTGCAGACCTGGTGCTGCTGGAGACGTCTGCCCTCAGTTAGAGCTCAGGTATTTGGGCAAACTCAAACATACTTATAAAGGCTGGAAGTTCCAGATCTCTCCAAAAGTGTGTAGACACCAAGGGCAAGAGTCAAAGCAGCGTTTTTATCTCCTCAGACACAATTTTGGGTGGAGTATAGGCACCTAAACAGATGAGAACAGCCCTCGAATATTTTATGATTTCTGGTTAGTAGCTTTGAAACCCTAAAATGATTCTACCAGCCACGTGGCTGAGGTCTTCACGCTCATAGAGGGACTCTGCAGTGAAGCAGGCTTGCTGCCGGTGTTGTAGTTGGTGGAAACAATGCTGGTGCTAACAGGTCGTTGACTTGAGGACATGCTGGCCACCGTGGCTGTTCAGTAACCAGGAGACCTGTGTCCTGGGCCTGCCTTCAGCTGGAGGACGTGCAACCCACTGCACACAAGTCAACATGACCATACGAAGTTGGGAATGGGAACAACCCTTATCCCGCACGAAGCAAGGCAGTGAAGGATTGTGCCCTCCAACAGCCAGACCAGGAGGGCAACGTGGAGCAGGGAGAGGAGGGTTGAGACTTCCACCACAGCACGATGAATCTCTTGAACCTCTGCTTTGTGGTATCCTCACCGAAGGTGTGCACGTGGCCGTGTGTGTGCAGGCAGCGCTGCCCTGGCCGTGCCTGGGCTGTACCAGTGACCAGGGCACGCGCAGCCGGGCTCACCCGAGTTGTGTGTGTTAGGTGTGAACCGTGCTGTGAACACGTATTTGTGCTGGGGCTGCTAAGGAGGAACATCTGGTGCTACTGTCCCAAGGGCTACGAGCCTTCAGGAGACCTGACAAACGCCATAAAATCTCTGTGCTCATCCAAAATTTCCAGGTGGGAGGCGGGGGGAAAGCTGTGTCCAGAAAAACCTGACAAGCTGTATGCTGGAGCTGGAAGCGCTGTCAGGTACCAACATCGCTCCTGGCAGCATCACAGAGGTTTCCTGGGCGACCGGATCACGCTGCATCTCCTTCCTCCCACACCCACCACCGGGAGCTGCCACATTGCCATGGCAGCCCCAAAGGAAAATAGCTTCTTCCCTCCCAATCTCTACTATATCCCTGGGTAAGTTCTGAAGTTCATCCAAAATGTCTGTTCATTTCCAACACAAATAGCTCCAGCTGGGATCACGTACTACTTACAATTCATGATATTTGGGGTTTTTTTAAAAGACGCTACTAAATATTCCAAGTAACAGTGCACTGAAGGAGACAGGGCTCCAGGATAAGAAGCACCACCACCACCTAACAGGGTATAATTAAAGACTATGCCATAGCTCATTAAGGGTGAAGTTGCAATTGGGGTTTTTGGGGGTTTTTTCCCCCTTTTTTTCATATGTTTTAAGCTACCAAATGTTACCAGGGCTGCTGTGCAGGGTTTGCCTTCCAAACTGTCATAACTTTTGCATCAAGGATGTTTGAAGACCTCCTTTGAATAAATATTTGCATTGGTATGATATGCTCTTGTCAAATTGGTTGGAGCACGATGCTGCTGCTGGATTTGAGCTCTTTGAAGAAGTCGGTGACTGTGGGTGCTGGGATCTTGTTGATGTGTAGTTGCAGGGTTTTTTAAATCTTTTTGTAACATTCTCCTCTAAAGGCCTGGAAAGAAGAAACCAAGCTGTCATGGGTAAGAGGTAATGAGTTATTGGTTGAAAGGTAAGACAGGAGTGGTGGAAATGAGTGGATAGGCTTCGGGGGGAGTAGAGAAGTTGTGTGCGGGGTCCCCTGGTGACCCGTGCTGGGAGACATGTCCGTGACACGTGTGACTGGGCTGGAAAGGGTTGGATGGCCACCGAGGGAAAAGGAGCTTCTGTTGGTACGGAATCACGCGGGTCAGCCCAGCCTGAGGTTAACTGGGAAGGGTGTCGGGGCTGGTGCCAGCCCAGGCTGCGAACGTTCAGCACAGAGGAAACTCGCCGTGTCCCGCACGGCCGCGGGTGCAGCACCGGTACGGGCAGGAGGCAGATCCCAAGCTGCAGGTAACGGGTGGAGCACGCTGCCTTCCCTAACGATGCTCCCGCGCTGATGATCCCACCGGTCCTTCCCATTGGAGCCACGTGCAGGACTTTTCCAGTACTGGTCTCTGTATCTTCCAAACTTACGTAAGCTCTGGGGTTGGAGGTTTTTAACACGTTTTTGTATTGCTGTGGATGTCGGAACGATGTGATGTGTTACTCCGTGCGTGCTGTCACCCTGTCAAAGCTGTGCGCTGACAGCAGCTTGGGAAGGATGAGTAACAGCAAGGAGGGAGCTGTGGCTGGGTTTGCACCTCCAAAAGCCTCAACGCCCCCCTGCTCACTCCTGCCTGCAGACAGCCCCCCCCAGAAGCAGCTCTGAGCCCTAATCCCACCACAGCAGCCGGGGCTGCTCCTCTCCGGGCTGCTGCTTCGGTCACTGGAGGCAGGAGGAGGAGGAACCAAATTCTGTCACCGCTTTCAGCAGTGATGTGCAGGCTCCTGGTGTCACCCAAGCCCCAGAGGAAGCCCCCGTGGGTGGTGAGGGTGCTGCTTTGCATCTGGTTTGGGTGGCTGAGCGCAAGGAGGAGCTGCCTGAAGGGCGTCCCGGAGCCCGGGCTCTGCTGCTGGCAGACGGTGCACCCTGTGCTGGCAGGAGGAGGAGGAAGATGCTGCGTCGCAGCATCTCGCCAGTTGTGCCGTGTGCTGTGGCGGTGAATCCGCAAAACCAAGGAGGGCATCAAAGCTGGTTGCTGTCACGTAGGTTGGGCAATGGTCACAGCTAGGGCTTTGAAAATGCTGCTGCAGTGCTCAAGAGCGTTGGGAAGCCAAACCCAACGTGTGGGATGGTTGAGGAAGGACTTGGCGCACCGAGAAGGGGTAAATCCATGAATCCTGGTCACCGGGCGCAGCCCTGCCCACCTTGTCCTGGCTTGGCGGAGCTGGGAAGGGTGCGGAGCGGAGCGAGGACGGGCCCAGGGCCAAAGCTTTTCCCCGGCGATCAGGAAGGCTGAGCAGGTTTAGGTGACGCAGTCTGGGGAGTGGCGATCAAAGAGATACGGCTGAGTAAGAGAAAAGCGAAATGGGGCTCAGCCTTGGGAAAGCGGGTTACTCGCCGCTCGCCAGCGAGGTTTGGGATCTGCAGTGGTTCAGCGTGAGCTATAGAAAGGGGAGATCTCCCTGGTCTCTCGATCAAAATATCAAGCAGGAGAAAGTCAAACAGCCCTGCTGAGACCGGTGCCTTCCCCAAGCGCCACGGCCTGTATCGGCAGCACTTGTAACTCACTTCTGCGGCAGATCCCTTCTCCGTAAACCCAGACCGACTCGCCCGAGCTCCTCAGATTACCTCGCTTTTAATTGCTTGTGAATTGAATCCTTTCTCAGCCCTACCATTATTTTATTCATGACCAAAATCCCTCCGGCCATCCTGTAATTATTCAGGCTATGTCATTTGTGCTCTTGCTCAGCTTTATTGTCCCGGCGTAGCTTCCCTGTGTTGCAAGACTTATTGAAAATCAATGGGGATGAGCCACCGAGCTGCTCCGGCAGCTGCTGGTGAGAGATCCTGCATGCAAAGTGGGAAAACTTGCCAAGTGGAAATGCACGGCTCTGCTTGCTGTTGTTTAAAGTATTTGGAAGGGAAAGTACTTACTCATCATCTTATGATCCTCATGCATCATCCGGCTTTATCCCCAGATACGCGGTGGGATCATTGATTGAATATTTCTGTCTGTACATTGCAATTGGCAGCTCTGCCTTTCTTCTTCAGCGGTGGAATCGCATCACTTAGAGGGCATTTGATACTGGGAATAGCTAAAGTCTCTGGTACATCCTGGTGGACTCTGGAGCGGAGCCAGAGCTCCAGCACCGGCCCTACCCCGAGCCACCATAAAGTCCAACTGCCCGTCCCAAGCTCGGGGGAGTGGAGAAGCAGCATGTCGCTACACGGCCTGTGCAAAGGTCCCCAAAAAGTCGAGCGGTGTTTGTTACTGGGGCTGAGCGGCCGCCCGGCCGTGCCTCTCCCACGTAACGCAGCGCCGGGGTGGGTTTGTGAGCCCGGTCTCGCTGCTCGCCGCAAGGGTACGGAGCGGAGAGGTTTGGCGGGTGCAAGTATGCAATTTTTCTGGTTTTTGAGTTTCAATATTGAACAAGGGATACTGGGAAATTCCCAGTAACTCACTGTGTTTTGGAACAGTGAGAGGGATTGCAAAATTTAAAACTGAGGCATGTTTAACTGGAAATAATATTTTAACTTGGGGGCTGTGGATGTCAATGCTGTCAAAGCGCCCGCAGCCCACGCTGTTCCTGCTGTAAGTTTTCCATCCACAGGTGCTGCTCCAGCCACGCTCCCTGACGGGTCCCCCATCCCTCCATGAACCAAAGCACAAGCCTGTGCCTGTACACGCCTGGAAATCATGAGACAGTTTTCACGCTCACATGTAAAAACGTGCATGTGAGCACACACTCCCCACCTGACTTCACGTGTAACCGCACACATCTTCCCGGTGCTCCCCTCGCGCCGCTGCTCCGGTGGCATTAACAAAAGCGTTCATGCTCCCAGGCACAGCCCTGGGCAATCGCATTCCCTGGGCTCACCTACTCAAAGCCATGTGTGCTCCTGGCCGTGGCCTTTCCAGCATGCGACGCCTCCTGAGCAGGTTATCCCACCGGCGGACACCATCCAATGCCATCTCAGTGACTGCTCTCCGTTTCCCCCTCAGCTACCGGGGCTTCGTCCCTCAGTACAACTATCAGTTTGGAGAGACTTTTGGCAAAACCACGTACCGCCTGCTGACGGATCCCGCTGTTACGAAGAGCCCTCGCCCTTTGCTGGCGCCGCTGCGCAAGCAGAAGTTCATCGAGGACTTCAGCGGGACGAAGCACGGTGTGCAGGGTTATCTCCCGGGGCGTCCAGGTGAGCAGACCCCGGGGCTCGTCCCTTCGCCAGAATGGGCTCTGCTAACGAGCACGGGGTCAGTCGGGAGCAATGGGTCTGTGCCCGTCCTCGACAGGCTCCTGGGGTGAAGCGGGATGTTTTCCAGGGAGCAATCGTAGCTCTGGCGTAGGAGCACAGAGACCCGGGGAGCCTCAGCTTCTCACACTGGTGTCTTGGGGAGAGGAAAGGAGAATTTTAATTCCCAGGTTATCTTCAGTTAGATGAAGATAAATGATTTTTATGGCATGGTATGAACTCACTTCCCAACTCTTCCATACTCCTGTTGTGGTTTAACCCCGGCCGGTAACTAAGCACCACACGGCCCTCCCCAGGCGGTGGGGGAGAGAATCGGAAGGGTAAAAGTGAGAAAACTCACGGGTTGAGATAAAAACAGTTTAATAACTGAAATAAAATAATAATAATAAATTGTAATGAAAAAGAAAATAAAAAGAGAGAAATAAAACCCAAGACAGACCAGCAATGCAGATGAAAACAGTTGCTCCCCACTAACCGACCGATGCCCAGCCAGTCCCCGAGCAGCGGCCCCCTCACCAACCTCCCCCCCAGTTTTAGTGCAGAGCACGACGCCATGTGGTCTGGAATATCCCTTTGGTCCTGGCTGTGTCCCCCCTCAAATTCTTGTGCACCCCCACCCTACTCACTGGTGGGGTGAGGAGCAGAAGAGCCCTCGACTCCGTGTAAGCACTGCTCAGCGGTAACTGCACCATCCCTGGGTTACCAGCACTGTTTCCAGCACAAACCCAAAGCACAGCCCCATACCAGCTACTATGAGGAAAATTAACTCTGTCCCAGCCAAAACCAGCACAAGTCCACAGGCAAAAACCCGTCTCTCCTGGGAAGGTCGGCTCTGCCACCTCCGACCCTTTCCCACTGACCCACCTGGTGCAGAGCTCGTTCTGCTCAGAGCTCTTACTCACAGCTTGTGGTTCACGGTGCATCTTGCTGCTCCTACCGCAGCTCAGCAGAAGGGTGCGTGTGCCCTTCCTGGTTCCCTTCCCTCTTCTGCTAACAGGCCCCATCTCCTCCATCAGCCACACGCTCACATAGATCCCCAACACCGGGAATTTGCAGGAATCTCCTCCCCAGCCCCTCTCGGCAAAGTACCTGGTGCCTGTTGAGCAGACCCAAATCAGGCCACAGCAGCAGCCCCACCGTGATCCCCATCAGCCCCTCTCGGGGACGGGCCGTCCTTTGGAGACACGTTTGCCGTGTACCGTATCAGGTGTCGAAGCCGTAGCTGCTGTGGATGCCCTGTTCAGTGGAGGCGAGTCCTCTCCTGGCTGAACACAGGGGTTACGTGCCCAGGTGGGATCTGGGTCTTCGTTTCCCTGGGAATGGCCACACCAAAGTGATGTTTTCCCATTCAGGGTGGAAACTTGTGCCGTGTAGCTTCTTGCAAACTTTTGGCATTTCTGTTCATCCTAACCTTGTTTTCCAGGATCCAGGTCTCTACTACACAGGTGGTGTTCACAGGCTTCACTCCTGGACATTGAAATTTGTATTTCCTTGGACTAAAATGTAATTTGGATGGACCCAACTAACCAGTTGACCTAGTTGTTCTCTCTCATTATCCTCTTCTCATTATTCTTCTCCCCTCGCCAACCTTTACATCATCTGCCAACGTTTGCAGCTGGGAGCTCACATTTGCTGCTCATTGGTGAACTGCTGCAGAACGTGGCCACAGGGAGCACCTTGCTGTGTTGGTGACTCTTCATCGCCAGCTCCTGCTGTCAAGTTGTGAGCAATTCCTTAAACCCTCCCCTGCAAACTTCATTAGAACTGCCTGGCATCCTTCTGGGTGGTTTACATGATGGAGCTCAAAGAGCTCACGGCAGCATTGGGTTGGTGTGGTTGCCTTTAGCAAACTCATTCTGAAGACTTTTTCTCAAGGTCTCTTTTTGATAAAGCCTCGTTGATGGGCACCAAGTATTTTGCTGTTTTCTATCAGTTGAATCCCACGTTGTTTTCTTGCTGGAAGTGAGGTCAGGCTCTGTTGGTTGGGGACATCAACCAGGGTTATGCTGGATCTGCAGGGGTGGCCACGTTGGCTTTGAGGGGGTTATGGCACAGGTCAAGTGTGCAGACACCTGCTCCCCAGGAACCTGGACTGAAAACATGTAGATGTTTATTCAAATCAAATGCACGGTGTGGTTGATTCTGGTAAAAAGCATTCTGGCTTTTGATTTCGTGCCTTTCTGTGCAGCCTTTCTGAATCAACAAGTCTGCAAAACCCAGGGTCATAAAAAGGAGCCCATATGGATTTGTCAAGTACAAAACAACTTCTTTTTTCCTTTTCCTTTGGTTTGTCGGATAAAGAGAGTAGATGCAATACTTTCATTAATAATGAAGGAAATACTAAGACAAACCTGTTTCAAAATTTGCACACTGGATTGAAAAATCACTTTCATCAAGGATTTGTCTTTATTTTGTTGCTAGCCTGGACAACACTTGATACCTAGAGTTTATATACATAGAGTTCAGTTACATAGAGTTTATATACTTTATAAAGTTATATACAGTATATATACTTTGTGATCTGCTTATAATTGTATTATAAACCTAAATGCCCATCAGAAGTTTTATACTCTTGCAAAAAGGGGCAAATTTTGCTCTGCGCTGTTTGGGCTGGGACAGGTTGTAATGCCCTGGGACTCTGCAGATGAAGTCCTGGCTGGAAGATGGTGTCTCATCTGCGGGGCTTTGCGCTGCGATACAGATGTCCACCCAACGCGAGGAGGTCAGGGGAAGGCAGTAGAGACCAGAGGGCCTCAAGAAAATGACCTATGAGAACAAAAATGGAAGGAATTTGGTTTGTTTTAAAGAGATGAGATTGACGTAGTAACGGTTTTCCAATAAGGAAAAAGTTGTTGTGGAGTGTAAGAGCGATCAATCACCCTCGTAACCACCGAGGAGGGAGAAATTGGCTTCGCTCCTGGCACAGAGCATGAGGAAGCACCCGGGTTGGAGATGTTGTATGGGGCCGGGGCAGCCTGGGGAGCCGCGTCATGGGATATTTTTAAAGGAAAGTCAGACGAGTTGCCAAGCTCGGCTGTCCCTGTGGAGTCTCAAGCTGCAGGCTCCATCCTTAGTTCACAGCAGAGATATTTAGTGTGCGCCGGCTGTCGATGTTTTTTCTCTCGGCCAGCATCACAGCAGACCCTTTCCTCGATGAGCAGCAACGAAGCCAGGGCAGGAATTCCTTGTTGGTTACCATGGCGGGGTCGGTCTGTGTTTGGGGTGTGCTGATGCAGCCAGGTGGAGAAAAGAATATGGGGTGGGGTTTTTCCCTTTACTTCTTTACAGCTTGGCTGATGATATTTTACAGTTTAGGTGTCACTTAGAATAAATTAGAATAAAAGTTATCAAACTAATACTTGCGCAGTATTCCTCAGTGCGGGTGGGTTTGTTGGGTGGGCTGGTGGCACTTGCAGGATGCTCTCCCAGCCTGTGGGATGCTGTTGACCTCCAGGCTCCTTTCCTTCGCTCCGGAGGGGAGTGTGGGGGCCGAGGTCCAGCGCAATGGGAATCCCTCATCCTCCTTCGGCCACTCCTTTCCCTTAACTCAGCGTCTGTCCCGCAGGGTACTTTCCCTATGAGAAAGCCAGGGCTGCAACAAGCTTTCCTGAACCAGTCCTTCGGCCAAAACCCCCTCAGCCAGGGCCAGCAGAGGAAGAGCTGATGATGATGCGCATGGACCCCGTGCCCCAGCACCACCCCAGCGAGTACATCCCGAGGACACCACTGCCACGTACGTACCCATGGAGGATTTCACACCATCCCGCCTCTGAGGGGCAAGAGTGGCGATTGCCCGAGCTAACGTCGCCTTGTGGACAGGAGAAAAGGTGGGGACCCGGCCAGCTCGGCAGGAATCAAACCGGTGAGTGGCTTTGGGTGGGGGAGACACGTGGTGAGGGATGCTGCTGCGGAGGGGTGGGCCTTTCGGGGACCGGTGGGTGTGGAAGGGATGTTCTTGGTTCACGAGTGTGCAAAGAGGGAATTTCATACAGGTGTGGATGGCAAGGATGAGGTTTAGAGCATCGTGTGGAGAAGTAGCAAACCCACACGAATGATTCTAGCAGTAGCAAATCCACCACATCTCCAGGAAACTGTTGCCGTGATTAATTACTCCTCAATTAAAAAGGATTAACTCCTCATTTAGTTGAGTTTTAGCTTCAAAACCCCGTTTCTAGGTCTTGCGTTACGCTGTGATATGCAACCGGGCTTGTGTTTCCTTCGTATCAACTGAGACCCCCGTCGCTGCCCCCCAGCCCGAAAACAGAGCAGTCCTGGCATCTCTGCTTGCGTCCCGGGTTTGCGACCCCTTAACTGCGCCCGTCTGACTTTCCCGCCATCGTTACCCCTTGTTGAAACACAAGCATTGGGATTTGCCTGCGGAGCTGGGTGCTGTTTCGCATGGCACAGCCGGCGTCACCCGGGACCAACGTGTTTGAGCCCCTTATTTCTTCCGGAGCCAGAGACAGCGCTTGTCACGTCACAGCCAGCCCGCGCTCTGCAAATCCCCTGAAGGCAGAGATTAGAGATTTGATGTATTGAGTCAAAAGCTGGCTTGGATATAAATCCCAAGAAGGGGTTTTGCTCCTTGCTCTGAGAAACAGATTTGTGGAGGATTTCAGTGCCCAAAGCTCCCCTCGTCCCCCGTGGGGATTTTGCAAAACCCTCTGCGTACAGAGAGCTCGGCTAGTAATTTGACTTTACCAGAAGTTCTTGGAGTAGCTCTTAGTGTAAAGCCAGGAAGAAATGGAAATGGCAGCTGCCATTCACAGGTTCTGGCAGTGATTTAAGCGATGGAGCCAAAGGAGGAAGTGGGTTTTACTGGTGTTTATTTTATTTCTGCTTTTATTTTAAGCCCGTAAAAATTGAAGGTGTGACTCTGCCAGGAGTGGCTGAAACCGCGGATGTGGAGCAAGATTATCGGTTACCAAAACTGGCTGTACCAAACGCGATCCAACAGAAAGTCATTTCAGGTAAAAAAGAGGGAGATCGTGCGCAGCACGCGTCCACCTCGGAAGAGATCGTGTCACCCTTCTGCCCCTGGGGAAATCTCAGAGACGTTGGCCAGGCGCTCCAGCTCGTTTGGACACTTTGGGATGGAAAATGCCCCTGCTCCTCTCCATGCAAGGGAGTTTCTTTGGTTTTAATCTCGTGCTGAGGGACAGATGTCCACGGGCAGGCGGAAGGGATGCAGGAGCCACCTCAGTTTCCCGCAGTGGCGGGGCCAGGCTAGAAAATGCTCCAGAGAGCAAGGAGAGGTGGGTGGTGGGCTCTGCACTGCCAGCAGCCTGGTAAGTGTCTGCTGCCGCTGAGGGAGCTCTTCCTCATGTAGAAATAAGACGCTTTTCTGAATCATCAAATCAACAATTAGTGTTGTATGGCACCGTCATAAGTAGATAAAACTCTGTCTTACAAGGAGGGATACTGCGCTCTGCGGCGAGCCACAGCAAATGCAGGAGTTGCACGTCAAAATATTTCAGACCGAGTGAAAGAGCATCGATGTTCTAGGATGCAGAAGACACATTTTGCTCTCTCCAAAGCTTCCCTTTGGAAAAAGGAGTTCTGGCTGCTTTTAGGTTGTACCTCTCTGTTTTATGTATAGACTTTCTATAGTTTCTCTCTTATAATTAGTGCAAATTTGTTGGATGGGCAGGGGAAATGAGGAAGAAAGGTTGCACAGCTGGTTGTTAGCCCCTGAATGCGTATTAAACTGAGACAGAACACGACAGAGCTGTCGGTGTAAAGAAAAGACTGTAAGAAAATGAAATGTTTCTTCCATACCTCATGGAGACCAGCAAAGATCACTTCAGCCCATTGAGTTTTCCTTGGGAATCAAAAAAGACTCTTTCTGAAAAAGATGCTTCACATGTAAGAGTTAGTTAATTTTACAATTTAAACGAACAAACTTTTCCTTCCTGTACTCTGCCAAGGTTTTATATTTATCCCAGTCTCTTCCACTTCCAGACTGGGTGATCCTTATCCGATATGCATGTTGTCTCTTGTCTTCATCCCAAGGGTACACTGGATTTGTCCCCCACCTCACCTGGATTAATGGCGTGAATTACGTCCAAGCTGTGAAGGAAGCCATGAACGAATTTGATCGACATCAGGTAGATATTATATCCACAAATCTTATTTCAGGAATATAACGTTGGTATTGATTCATCGGCCACCCCAAAAGCGGTTTCACTTACTGTAGTAGCATTAGAACTGGGGTTAATAAGTACAAGCAAAAGAAAATGCTATTAGGTAACATGTTGAAAAAATCATGAGCAATTAAATTCTGTAACTTGTTTCCTTGGGACATTAAGGGAGAATAAATGAGTTTGTAAAAGGATTAAGCAAATCTATTGAGGGTTGGTTCAAGAGTGGCTATTAAAAATGTTGCTCTGAGTGCAGAAACACAGGACGCAACTATCTGTGCTTCCCTTACGCAATGGATCTTCTCTACCTGGGTGGCAGCGCCGGATGGCTGCCTGGGCTGGATATCTCTCCCTTTTAATTGGTTGTAGGGCTTTCTCCTTTACTAACATAATTTGTCTGAAAAGGAATCTAGAGCTTCCTTCTCCTCCTTTTGGGAAGGATGCAGAAATATCCCTACTGAAAAAAATATTTCGTCCCCTTGCTGTAAGAGCTCTCACATAATGCCATATAATCCTCCTACACGGGAAAATGAGATCCCTCCCACAGTACTTAATAGTTTGCATTCAAAGCTACTTGTTTCTTCCTGCTACCAGGATGGAGTGTGATCCCTGGGACGCAACCGTCTCGCTGGTCCGGTGACGGAGAGGGCTGATCAGCTCAGTGGAAGCAGGTTACAACACTACCAGCCCTTTCTGGTTCACCAGGATTCACTGCGGTGCCTTTGTCCCAGACCCTATGGGTCTGATGGAGAGAAAATCCAAGGTTGAGGATTCCCAGCTCAGAGAAACTCAGCTGGGATGAAATGACTCAGCGGGGAGAGCTGCAGGGCTGACAGCGCTCACGGCAGCCTGATGCTTCGCCTGAAATGTATTTCCCTGCGCTGGCTTCCTTATCCTTTCCTTCTGATGTTAATAGGCATTGAAATGAGGCAAACAGAGCAAACCCCAGACATTATCAACCCAAAATGCACTGTTTGCAAAGCCTTTCTGCCCCTGATTTCTTAAGGAAGGTCTGCCGTGCAGTAAATCGGCGAGGGAGGTGTTTCTCCGTCGCAGGATTCAGCAGAATCCAGGCTCGCGGAGGTTAGCTGCAGCACGTCAGGCACTGAAGGAATATAAGCACGCTTAAAAAAAAAAAAAAATCACACCACGTTTCTATCTAAGATGGCTTCTGACTTCAAGCCACTAATCTTCTGCCCTAAATCTCTGTTGCCCTAGGTTACATACTGGGATGGGCCATGGATCATTGCTTACTGTCTGCATCAGGCACAATAATGCAATCCTCTCGCTTCAGTGTCGCGCTTGAGGCATTGCAGCGATCGCTCCATCATCAGTCACAAAACGCTTTGATGGCCCCACGGTTTGCTGGGCTCCGTGAAGCCGGTCCCTTCACCACCGAGCAGGGCACCGCAGCTTTAGTGACATCTTTAGGGGGTTTTGCTGCTGCGGAGATGTGCAGAGCTGCAATACCCATCCTCCAGCACAGCCCCGTATCTGACCTCGGAGGGCAGGGACGGTTCCGGGAGATGATTTACACTCTCCCTTCAGTTAACGCTCCCTAAGCCTTCCTGTTCCTCCTAGCCTGGGAATTACTGGCTAATCCCCGTCGGTGGGACTTGTGGAAAACCAAAACCAGTTGAAGGGGTCAAAGCAAAACCCAGATGCGTCTGTAGCACAGGAGCAGACAGGGCACGTACCCGCCTCCAGCCTCACGGTATATCAAACGTAGGAGCACGAGGTGTTTGGGACTTGTGGATGACGCCCAGCGGTGACGACCGGGGTCTGTAGAGATCCTGATCCTCTGTGCTCCTGGGGTACGAGCTAGCGGAGGCAGGGCTGCCGCCAACTCCCGTCAGGAGGAAAACAGGGAGGATGCAAGGAAGCTCCTAATTAGAAGAAAATAGAACTGGAAAGAGAATTGCTGTGCATTGGCTTAACTATTTTCTCTAATACGGAGTCAAAGCACATGTCTTGGGTAACACCAATCCAGTTTTTAAAATGAACTGTACTGTGTAGTTGGGGGTTTTGTTTGTTTGTTTTCCAGTTGTTGCAGAGAAATCCAGCTTGCAGCTTTGGCAAGAGATTTCCCCAAACACACTGGCCTAACAACAGGATTTACACCAGTGCTGGACTGATACCTTTCTACACGGGCTTTGTACCAGGTAAGTTTGTCAGCTGAGTGAAAATGAAAGTCACTAATACTAATTACTGTCATTAAGTAGCACTGTTATTAGCTGTAGTGTCATAGTAGTGAACAGTTACTGGAATGTTCCACGTGGGTAGTAGATTTTTTTTTCCCCCCAGTCTGTGGCATCCCCTGCCTTTCTGCGGGAGAGCCCATCGTCCTCGCTGCCAGCCTGGACTTGTGCAGGACGTTCCTCTGGTTTCCAGCCACCAACCCCCTGCTAAAGCAGAGGAGGCTCGGTAACACCTCGTGCGTTACAATTTCTTCGTCAGGAGAGTGATTCAGTTCTAAAAAGCTTAAAGGCTGATAAAAAAAAAAAACACCAAACCCAACCCGAAAGGCAGATGATACAAAGGGATTGAGACAGCACAAAAAGAAGCAGTGACGGGGTATCGGCCATCAGGACAGGTGGTGGCTACCTGATCCTTGTCAGATATTGATTGGGGTTGTGTAAAAGAGGAGGTCTGGAGAAAGTAGTTTTGTATATGTTAAGGGGAAGGTCTGCCCATGCAGAACATTAGGATATCAGGCTAAAATTGCAACAAATCTGCAATTAGTATTGCTGTCTTTGGCCACAGCAAAGTCAAAAGCCTGCAGCTCAGTAATGGTGGATGGGGAATCATGGAGATAAGCTCAAAAGAAACAGACTAACAGCTTGTACTTAATGTGATAAAGAGGAGGAAAATAGTAGAAGACAGAATATGTGGCAGAAATGAAAGCAAAGAGCGGGAAAGTATCTCGGCAGTGTTGGACTGCAGCTGGTACAGCCACTGTCTCTGCCGAGCCCAGAAGGTTGAGGCAGAGAATGTGGCTCTAGCAAGAGTTGTACTGGGGGCAGGGGAAAGGACGCAGAAAAGGCAAAGTTTAACACCAGGCCGGTGGGCAGGAGCTCGAAGGTTGGCAGCGTCTTACGCCCTGATGGCGACAGGTGAGGCTGCACAGGCCTTCTGCTCCAAGACGAAGAGAAGGATGTTCGCTTTGGCCTGTGTCACCACGGTCCTGCCCCGGGGCAGATGGCAAGCGCAGCAGCTGCTGTCCCCGGCGCGTGACACTCGCCCCTCCGTCCCCTTCCTTCGTGCGGGAGCGCTGGGGTGTCCTGCGGCAAAGCCCCGACTGCTCCAGCGGTTTCCTCTGCGCTGGATTGCTCAGGGAGGGCTGCGGTCGCACGGCTGCAGCCTGCAAGCTCGAGCTGCCTGGAGAAAGGCTGTTAGGAACCAAAGGGTAAACCGGACCCCGGTGTCAACGCTGGTCCGTGTGCTTTGACCCCTCCGCAAGCCTGCGGAGAGCAGGGGGAGAGCGGCCGGAGCTCTTCAGGGGAGGGTGACTAATGTGCCCAAAAGGGTGCTGGGGGGACACAGCATGGTCCTGCCCTGGGTAACCGGCAGGCCAGAGAAGGACAAGGAGAAAAGAAAAACCCACCCTAAAATCAAGGACAAAAATCAGTTTAAAGTGTTCCCTCACGCTTCAAACATCTGTTGCTGCCTTTTTACCTACAGCAGCATTCTGCTGGGTAAGTTTGAAGCCAGGCACCCGTTTCTGTGCCCAGACTGATTTCCCAGGAGCCACCACAATTTTCACTACTCCAACCAGTCCAACTCTGGAAGGAGAAACTTATTTTGTGTTATGTTCTTCTGTCCTAAAAATCAGTTACAATTAGGAACACAG